TCAGAGCTCCTCACCCTATCTCTAAGGCTGAGCCCGGCCACGCTACGGAGGAAACTCATTTCGGCCACTTGTATCCGTGATCTCGTTCTTTCAGTCATTAGCCAAAGCTCATGACCATAGGTGAGGATTGGGACGTAGATCGACCGGTAAATCGAGAGCCTGGCTTTCTGGCTCAGCTCCCTCTTCACCACGACCGATCCGCTCAGCGTCCGCATCACTGCAGATGCTGAACCAATCCACCTGTCGATCTCCCGATCCCTCCTACCCTCACTCGTGAACAAGACCCGAGATACTAAAACTCCTCCACTTGAGGTAGGACCTCTCCCCCGACCCGGAGTTGGCAAGCCACCCTTTTCCGGTCGAGAACCATGGTCCATCACCCTTGCAAGGGTATAGAGCTGGTCCACAGTTCCACGGCCCGGACGAAAACCACATTGCTCCTCCTCAATCTGAGATTCAACTATCGATCGGACCCTCTTCTCCAGTACCTTGGAGTCGACCTTTCCAGGGAGGCTGAGGAGTGTGATCCCCCTATAGTTGGAACACACCCTCAGGTCACCCTTCTTAAAGATGGGGACCACCACCCCGGTCTGCCACTCCACAGGAACTGCCCCGATGACCACACAATGTTGCAGAGACGTGTCAACCTTGACAGCCCTACAACATCCATAACCTTGAGATACCCAGGACGAACCTCATCCGCCCTCGGGGCTCCGCCGCTGTGTAGTTGTTTGACTACCTCAGCAACTTCTGCCCCCGAGATTGGACAGTCCATCCCCAGGTCTCCCGGCTCTGCTTCCTCCTCGGAATGCGCATACGTGGGATTGAGGAGCTCCTCAAAGTATTCCTTCCACCGTCCGACTATAGCCCCAGTTGACGTCAGCAGCTCCCCATCCCCACTGTAAACAATATGAGCGAGTTGCTGCCTTCCTCTCCTGAGGCGCCGGACAGTTTGCCAGAACCTCTTTGGAGCCGATCGATAGTCTATCTCCAATGGCCTCACCAAACTCCTCCCACGCCCAAGATTTTGCCTCGGAAACTGCCACTGCTGCACCCCGCTTGGCTATCCGGTACCTGTCTGCTGCCCCCGGAGACCCACAGACCAGCCACGCCCTGTAGGCCTCCTTCTTCAGCCTGACGGCTCCCCGAACCTCTGGTGTCCACCAGCGGGTATGGGGTTGCCACCACAACTGGCACCGGCCACCTTGCGATTACAGTTAGCAACAGCCGCCTCAACAATCACAGAGTGGAACAAGGCCCACTCGGAGTCAATGTCCCCCACTGCTCTCGGGACGCGATCAAAGCTCTGCCGGAGGTGGGAGTTGAAGACCGTCTTAACAGGTTCTTCTGCCAGGCGTTCCCAGCAGACCCTCACTATGTGTTTGGGTCTGCCAGGTCTACGCGGCATCTTCCCCTGCCATCTGATCCAACTCACCACCAGGTGGTGATAGTTGACAGCTCCGCTCCTCTCTTCACTCGGGTGTCCAAAACATACGGCCGCAGTTCAGATGATACAAATACAAAGTCTATCATCAACCTGCGACCTAGGCTGCCCTGGTACCAAGTGTACCGATGGGCATCCTTATGTTCGAACATGGTGTTCGTTATGGCCAAACTGCGGCTTGCACAGAAGTCCAATAACGAAACACCACTCGAGTTCAGATCAGGCGGGCCGTTCCTCCCAATCACACCCCTCCAGGTCAAGCTGTCATTGCCCATGTGAGCATTGAAGTCCCCCAGCAGGACAATGGAGTCCCCTGATGGAGTGCTATCTAGCACTCGTCCCAGGGACTCCAAAAAGGGTGGGTACTCTGAACTGATATTTGGCCCATAAGCACAAACAACAGTCAAGACCCGTTCCCCGACCCGAAGGCGCAGGGAAGCTACCCTCTCATCCCCCGGGGTAAACCCCAACACACACAGGCAGAGAGTCTTGGGGCTAACAAAAAGCCAACCCCAGCCCTCCGCCTCTCACCCGGAGCAACTCCAGCAAAGGAGAGTGTCCAACCCCTGTCAAGGACTTGGGTTCCAGAGCCAATGCTATGTGTCGAGGTGAGTCCGACTATATCTAGCCGGTACCGCTCAACCTCTGCCACAAGCTCCTGCTCCTTCCCCGCCAGCGAGGTGACGTTCCATGTTCCAAAAACCAGTTTTCTTGTCCAGGGATCGGACCGCCAAGGCTCCCGCCTTGGTCTGCCACCCGATCCACATTGCACCGGATCCTTCATGTTCCTCCTGCGGGTGGTGGGTCCACAATTGGATGAGCCCATGTATCCGGTTCGGGCTGGGCCCGGCCAGGCCCCATGAGCGAAAGCCCGGCCACCAGGCGCTCGCTCACGGGCCCCAACCCCAGGCCTGGCTCCAGGGTGGGACCCCGGTAACCCTCCGGGCCAGGTACTCCGACTCTTTGACTTTACCTCCATGAAAGATCCTGTGAACCGTTCTTTGTCTCACCCTTCACCTAAGACCAATTTGTCATGGGAGACCCTACCAGGGGCACAAAGTGCCCCAGACAGCATAGCTCCTAGGATCATTAGGGCACTCAAACTCCTCCACCACAATAAGGTGACGGTTCAAGGAGGAGTGGTTAGCATTAAAGGCAAATTTAAAATTATTAACACTTCTAGTAGTTAGGCCAAAGGTTTCAGTTTCTTTACATGTGGTTAGAATATTTATAGAGGGAAAGAAAAACAAGCAAAACAAACCAAAAAAAAAAAATTATCTTCTCTCTAAAATTACCTTTCCTAACCTAAAGATTAACTGATTTTAAACACAGAGAGAGAGAGAGCAAAAGAAGATTAATATGAGAAAGGGTTATTTATCTCGCATGTGAAAGGAAACCCGGCACATTTTCAACACATGCAGTGATCACGGTCGACCACCAGAATGCAGCAGACCCCTACTGGGTGTCATAGGGGAGGGGTTTCTAGTACCGCCCCCTGAGCGTCCTCAGCAAGCAGGAAACTCAAGCTTCAGTCTTTGACTGGACACAGAGCAGGCCTTTTTAACCCAGACTGCTCCAGGCTCCAACTTGAAGAGACGCGCAGCTCTCTCTTTTTTTTTCCCTTCACCAATTAACAGTGACTCGGTTTAACTATTTTGTTTCGTCTCTTCTCAAAACCATTTCTTTGTCAGTCAACAAAAAGCTTACCAAACTTTATGTCAGCCTCTTTAATAGTTTCCTGGCTTTTAGCTTTGCACGTAAACATAAGCAGAAATAAGCAGGGCCAGAATTCCCGTCGGTCCCACTGCTTTTAAATAACAATCAAACTGCTGCAATTAAACATCAGCAGTTTGTGTGTCTCGTTATGGCAGAAGGAAGAGGATCTTGAGCTAAACGTGAATGTGGGATTGAAATAAAACGCCACAAAAGGAATGTAATAATCTGAATTCACGAATCGGCTTATAGCAGAAAAACAGCCAGATAGAAATGCTCACAAACCTGCTTTCCATCGTCGGAAGGGTGGCCAGCGCCTCCAACAGCCTTGGGTTCCTGGCTCGTGGCCTTTTTGGATTAAATGGTGCTGGCTCCCTGGTCGGTCAACGTTGGCCGTGGAAAGGGGAGGATGCGGTATTCCTCGGTCATGGCTTGACTTTTCGGTTCCTCCCGCTTCACCAAACGTGGAATTCAGATCGCAAGTCCAAATTATCCAAAACGAGATCGAATCAGAGAAATTGTTCCGATTTGGGTTTCACTCTTAACGTGAGAACTCGACCGAACACGCAGACTTCCTGTTTCACGTAGGAAGTCAAAACAAAACAAACGGAGTTGCTTCTAAGTTTTACCGTAACTTTTGAGGGCTAATTACGTGACAACTGTAAAGCGCCGGGTTCTGCTAAGCCAGATGGAAACAGCCCGCAGGGATTTGAGCTTAAGGCAAACCTTTTCTCTTTTTCTCCTACCACCACCAGTCAGAACTCTGGTTTTATAAACTTCTTGGTCATACCCACACGTATTTCACTCATTAACCACTTGATGGCACTGTGGCTCTTTCAAATAACCCAGTCTTACAACCATGGGAGATTCATGCTCACAATTTTAACAAAGTTTTTCCAAATAAGGTCTCAAAAAGTATTACTTTAAACAGAAAAGAACTAACTTCAGGTCTTAAGCTTGACTGTATCACTTTTAGCATGGTTTTGAACTTGATGAGAGGTTGGCAAGCCTAGATTTGTGCATTAGAGAACATCGCCAATTTTTCTGGCATTCAGAATAAGTGCTAAGTCACTCACATGATGCTGGTCTATATTACAAATAATAGAGAATGATTAGGTGTTTAAAAGCAGCGAATCATCAACATGGGGTGGTACTGTGGGAGACAGAGTATTTCTTTTTTTTATTTCTTTTTTTTATGGTGGGCACTTAATGCACTGTGATTTATTATCGTGATTCTTCAGTTAAGCAACGTAGATTATATATTTTCTTCATCAAGTTGACGCAGTGATAGCTAGATCTTGTTGTATTGTTGTTGTGTGCCTTTTTTTGTGTCTTTTTCTGCAGGTCTAGAAGCAGACTCTTGTTCATTGTTTATTTTTGTGGAACCCCCCCCCCCCCCCCCTCTCTCCCCACCTTTTCTTTCCTTTCTCTTTCACCTCTGTCTCCGTGTCTGGTCGGAATTACAATGCATTCAACAACAATAACAATAAAGTTTTAAGTATAAGGCGTGACATTAAAAGTAAACGCTTTGATGCTCCATCTGAGAGTAAATCTGTAAGGCTTGTCACCAGCATTCAGACATCAATTCTGTTTGCTTCACAGCCAGACAGGACACGGTAAAAAAAAAAAAAAAAAAAAAAAAAAAGGAGACAGAGTATTTCAAGTCAAAGTCATGGGGTTTGGAATATTTAGTTTGAATGAAGATTGGAGTATATAAACTTGAATAGCTATCGTCTAATATTTGTACTTAAACATCATATTTATTTGGATGTTTTTCATACTTATGATGAAACTGTTTCCCAGCATTTATGTAACCCTCCAGTTTTTTGTGTTTACTTTCCAGAAACGTCAGATCCTGGTGACCCTGGTGGAGATACTTCTTCCCTTGCTTTTTTCTGGCATCCTCATTGCGCTTCGCCAGAAGGTGGACTCTAAAGTTTTCCCAAATGCCACCATCTATGAAAGCTTTGATGTTGACAGTTTCCAGAGATTTTCCAACTTGCAAAAGTTACAGTTGGTCTATGTGCCTGGTAACTCCAGCGTGGTGCGACAAGTGGCGTATGATGTGCAGAGAATGCTTTCACTTTCCTCAGGTGGGTAATTGACGAGGAATAAATGTTTATGTTTTTTGGCAAACGTTTTCATCCACAGTGATTTACAAAAGAGAATGCAACAAAGCAGTTAGCGCTGACAAACCAAGGGAAGAACACCAGCCAGACTGTCAGAGGGGACAGTTTTAGCAACAGTGTGAGCATGGAGGGATGTGCACAAAGAGAATGCAGTAGACTAAGGGAAGGTAAGAACAGGGTAGGTTTGTCTAGAAAAGTGTTGGGTGTTCAAAAGCTTCTTCCTGTTGTGACCTGGTAGCTCATTCCGCCATTGTAGAATGAGACAGGTAAATGAGTCTGGATCGTTATGAGAGTGGTGAAGGCATTACTAGCCGACAATGCTTTGGTAACCAGAGCCTTGTAGCTTTGTGAGCTAACTTGAATGACTGAGGGCAGCCAATGTAACTCATAGAGGGGTCGGTGTGTTCTTTTAGGCCAGTGGTGCCCAATCCTGCTCCTCGAGATCCCGTATCCAACATGTCTTAGAAGTTTCTCTGTTTCAACACACCTGATTTGAGAGCCTGAGTAGCCGCTGAAGAGGCGATTGAGCCACTGAATCAGCAGGGTGATGTATAAAACAAGCTGCATAGGAGATCTTGAGGACCAGGATTGGGCGCTCTTGTTTTAGGCGGCTAGAAAACCAGGTGCTTCGCAGCATTCTGGACCATTTGTAGAAGTTTCACTGCACGGGCTGGGAGACCAGTTAGAAGAGCATAGCAATAGTCTGGGCTGGAGATGACCAGAAGCTGGGTGATGTATTGGGTTTGGTATGGCTTGATCATTCGAATGGTAAAATCGATGCAAAGTGGCAGGAATGTGTGACAGAGGCAGCATGATCTGTAGATGTCGGCTGGTCTTCTATCACGACATCCAGATTTGAAGCTACCTTAGATGATGTAAGATTCAGCTTGGATTGGAGTATTGCACTGTATTTGTGCTTTGGCTGGTTTAGTTTTAGAGAGGTTGATTTGGAGGTGGTGGGCTTTCGTCGATGCCGACGTGTCAGTCGAGTTTGTAGAAAAGCGGCTGTAACCCTTTTAAACAAATACTGCAGCTTTCTCAACGTTTTTGGTGCGGAAGAGACCTGGAAATACTGGTTATTCAAGAAACGGCTCTGAGAGACGCCAAAAGCCATTCACATGTCAGCTGTTGACTTTTACTGGGAAAACAAGGAAGCACACCTACTTGTATCCTTCTTTATTTCACACAACAAAACACACTTTCCCTGAGTGACTAGACTTTGGAACGTTTAACAGAACAATCTGTTCAACATTTTGGTTTTCTTGAGTCGGATGAATAGGAAGGGATTCAGAACCAAGATGAATAGTTCACTGATATTTAGGGATGGACAATATATCAGTATTGGCCGATGTTAGTCATTTTTTAACATGTCGGTATCGGTTCGATAAATAAAACCGGGCTGATATTAACAACCGATAATTTTTCCATCTCGTCTCCATTTGTTTGCCTGTTTCATAGGGTGAGGGGGTGATGTGTAATTGTTTAGTCATTTGACAGTGATTGTAATCATCTCAGAACCGTAAATGTGTGTGTACATAAAAATGAAAATTTAGCTTTAATAATTTTCATTCTATACAAAATCTGCTGCTGTTAGAAATATTGATGTCAGTATATCGGTTATCGGCCACAACAGTGATCTTAATATCGGTATCGGCCCAAACATTTCATATCGGTGCATCACTACTGATATTCGTAACTACAACTTATGCTGTTGCTCAGCCATCTAGCACATCAGTGCAGCTATGACACTTACATGCTTGAAGGAACCATCAGTTTCAGGATTATAACACAAATATGATCGATAACAGTAGTTTAGTCACTTTGCCTGAAGGAAGGCATTCATGAAGTGACTCTGAGGTGCTCGGTTATGAAAGTCTCTCAACTTGAATGTTTTTTCCGTTCTCCATGCTCCACTCTTCCATTGGGTTTCATGAAAATCAGCCATTCTGCTGGATACAAGCAAAGCAGCAACTAATAATGCAGATTTCATTACTGTCAAAAATCTGAAGACAGGATAAAAACATGATTTATGTCATTAAAGATTCCCAGTCATCGAGAATGTGGTAAAAACAAGCTACTGTATTCATGTTTGATTTATTTGTGTGTGTGTGTGTGTGTGTGTTTCAATTCCCAACTCTGGAATAGCTATAAATACTCAACAGGTTGTGTGTCATAAATGTACATATTTGTAATGCTATAAATCAGTGATGATAGAAGTTTCTTTTTCTGGGGGACCTCCACTTGTTTTGTATCTGCAGAAAAGCTTCTGCCAATTAACCACCTGGAGCCACTCACCAAAAGCATGGTGAACTTCAATGGCAGATAGTTGATAAATAATTGGTTACACTTCCAAATTTATAAAATGATTAAGTGATCATTCCCCTCTTTGTAAACTTTTCACCATAAGTTCGCATATCTTTCTACAGACAGGTTGTCAGGTGGAATTATTAGGTGTGTTTTGTTGGATGTGTGCTCAACTCCCCACCTCTAAATCAGCTTTATCCCCACCTCCTTGTACTTAAAAAGCTTTAATGCCAAGTAATTTTACTGGTTTGAAAAATATAATCCAACAACATCAGTTAAAGCCATTGAAGGTGTTTAATTTCATGATAGGAAGCCTTCTTAATCCATGGTAAAGAGCGAATAAGTCAGCAGGTGAAGCTCCAGCAGGCATGGTTTTGGCTCTAATTTAAACGTTGTTTCTACTTGGTTACAGGAAGGCCTGGCTGGGAACACATTTTGGTTGTCAAAGGAAAGTTTGAGTGTGCAAATCTAACACCTGTTTGTTTTCCCTGCTCTGTTATCTTTACACAAATGTGTATTTTATGAGCCTCACCCAGATTTGACCCTGTCATCACCTCAGTGATGTTTGCAAGACTTGAAATACCTCCATGTTTGCTTGATAATGAACCAAAATGCCTCTAAGCAGTCCAGTAAAGAAATGGTTTTCAGGACAGTGTACTGAAGTACTCTGTGCTTAGATTTTTCTGTGTTTTTACATTTTGACCTGTGTGCTCTAGAGCAGGTTATCATTAACGATGTCTGTGGACATCGCTGCAGTCGTCTTTCCCTCAACCAGTTCCTGCTTCTGAACTCACATCCTCACAACATGAGACTGTGGGGATGTGTAACCCTAACCCTCACCATGCTTCAGGGTAGGATTGGTCAGCGGTTCTTGCATCCTCTCATACATGACACTAGACATTCATACAAACTAGTTCCTTTATTTTCCCTGTTAAAACAGATAATTGTGTTTCTCGTGGTCTGAATATCCTCCAGATGCCTCTGAGTTAATATCAAGTGGATTGCCTTTTACTTAGGACTGACTTCTGTCTGGTCCCTCTACCATACAGGACTGATTTGTGGTGTTGGGTAGAAGTGAAAGCTTCACTCTCCACAGGGCAGTGCTAGGGTTCTGTCAGTGACCATTGGGTTCTTGGTCACCTCCCTGTCTAAGGCCCTCTACCCTGGGTGGCCAGCTCTAAAGGCTGATTCATACTGACACTGCCCCAGCATGTTGGATCTGTTTGATTGCCTTCTTGCAACGTCGTATTGGCGATCCAACAGTGTTGGATCATGTTGGAACGTTGGTTGGAGTCTAGCTCTATTTTCTAGACATCCGACGGCGGCGTTGTATGCTGGACGTCTGTTATTGGTCAGCAAGGACGTAATTTTCACTTTAGAAGTGGGGGGGGGACACGGGGGGGGGGGGGGGGGTATCTTTACAGTATGTTCTAATGGGAAACAGGCTTCAACACAAACGGTTGTTTTCCGCTTGGTCCTAGAGCTCAACCAGTGTCAATTTAATATAGCGTAATATTGTTTTTGGATGGTAAAAAGTGCAGGGGTCAAAACTTGACTTTGGAAAAAGTGGGGGGGACATGTCCCCCCTGTCCCCCCCCCAAAATTACGTCCATGTTGGTCAGCCAAACAACCCAACGTCATTTCCGGCACGACGTAGCTTCCCTTAAAAAATGTAAACAGCGCGAGTGTTGATACAGCCCTGAAGACTTGGAGCAGATGGAGCAGAGTTGTTGTTCTTCTAGCTCAATCAGCTCCTGCTGAATAAGAATTCGCTCTGTGTCTGTGTCGTCCATCTTTGCAAATAGTACATAGTAGTAGGGCAGACACGTCACTACAAGAGTATGCACACCTGCATAGGAGCGCGCTCCCTGTTGTTTTGGCGGAGAATTTCTTCAAAACTCAGCCCAATAAGTTAGGAATGCGCCTCCTGCTGTCCTGGTGAAGAATTTCTTTGCAGCAGGTCGGGCCAAGATTCGACGCTGCAGCCGGGGGGGGGAGGGGGGGGGGGGGCGCTTAAGAAGAGCCCTTGTGTTTCCAAACTTCTTTTATCTCTGGATGATGGAAACCAGTGTGCTCATTGTAGAAATGCTTCTGTCCTCTTCCTAAGCCCTGTGCATTGATACAATCCTGTTTCAGAGATCTGCAGACAGTTCCTTGGACGTCACAAAGACGAGTACAAGTATTTCCTTAATTCTGTCCAGTCAACTGAATTGAATCTGTTATGGAAAAAGACCAATGTTTAGACTAAGTGAAGCACTTCCTGATGAAGTGGGAACACCGAATCTAAACTCTTGTTTACTCTGGCTGCACAGGTATGATAAATGACCCGCACTTGTATAGCGCCTCTCAGAGTAAGGACTCCAAAGCGCTTTACACTACAGTGTATCATTCATCCATTCACACACACATTCACACACTGATGGTGATGAGCTACAATGTAGCCACAGCTGCCCTGGGGCTCACTGACAGAGGTATCTCACTGCGTCGCTTGTTTTCAGCCTTGTGGGTATCTGTTCCCCTTTCTTAAATGTTTTTTTGTGTTTTCTTTGAATTGAATAATTTTCTTTAGTCTAACTGGTCACGCTGCTCAGTGTGCTGACCACCTCTTGACCAGGTTTCTGCCCGTCAGCAAAAGCCATCACACTTGGGTCACGAGGTAGAAATGGAAATGGCTGGACGTGAGAAGAATACCTCAGAGACTAACGTGGTTCTCTTTGTCGTTCCTCCTCCAGTGCGTGGCTTTGAGACAGAGGAGAAGTTTGAGAACTTTGTGAGGAATGACCCCATGTCACACAACGTGCTTGCTGCCGTGGTGTTTGAGCACTCCTTCTCTCACGATGATGAAGCTCTACCTCTGAAGGTAACGGGGAACACAGGGTGGCAGGTGTACAGCGCCGGTATCTGAAAACTGGGACATCATCTCCCAAAGTGATTGGCTAAACCAGTAAAACCAGTTTAGGCACTTATGTTGACTTACTGAAGCTGTTGGGCTGTTTGTTAGATCTACTGTTCAGATAAAACTACTTGTGTAGCCAGAAAAACCTGAAAAGTATATCTTCATTACTTTCTCTCTGTAGTAAAAAGAATTCATCGTCTCTTAGTTTCATTGCACTTGCTATATGAAATACAGGCCTCTTTCTCTGTTTGTCTCAGCAGCAGTAACGTCTTATTCACATTAACAATGCAGTTGTAAATTCCTCCTGTTGTCACCAGAGGTTTTTGCCTCAGACCTTCTGGGGAGATCCTCATGAAATCATTGTGATTTACAGGTGAGCTACCACCTGCGCTTCACCTTCACTCCACGCAACGCCCCGGCCACAGAAAAGTCTGAACTGAACCCGAACAATGACTTCGACTGGCACACACTCAGCCTCTTTCCTCTTTTCCAACTGCCAGGCCCAAGGGAGCAGTATGAAAGGGAGGGCGGCACACCCGGTAATGAGGATACTTTTACTCTTCCTTCAGAACCAGGAGAAAGCATTTTTCTAGATCTAAACCGCTAAAAAACATATAGTTTAGACTCAACAGCCCCCTCTTTGGGCTGTGTTCCCATGACAACCACACCCCTGCACATCTCGGGTGTTATTTTTTCTGGCAGGAAGCCGCACGCTGACATCATTAGTGGGTAAAGGTGATAAAAAGTCTTTTATGTTTTTGTCCGTTTGGTCGTTTCAGCTAAACTGTTTCCCCGTAGCAGGTGGTTATATTTGCATGTGTTTGCCTCTGACAACGAGCAAGTTAGTTTCTTATTATTTATTAAAAAGTAACTGAGTTACAATTCAATAAAAGTAACTAAATAAAAGGAAAAGTAACTATAGCGTTATTTTTAAAAAAAGATATGCACAAAAATTTGGATTTCTTAACATTTTAATTACTAAATGGACTAAAATGCGTTTCCAATCATTTTTATAAAACTGAATAATTAAAGTAAACGAGTAATTAACAGAGGGAAGTACAAACAGGAAACACTACACTAATGTAAATTATTTAAATAGGGCTTTCACTGTGTGGTCAAATACAAATTATAATTGAAAATAAATTAATTTCTACATTTTAACCAGAACATGAGATGGCTTCCTGAGAGGAAATGGCTCAAAACTGATGTAGAAAAGCACTTTGTTCCTGGACATGAATTACATTTCACATGGAGATTCTTGCATTTCATCCCTTTAGAGAAAGTGAAGTCTGTAGGTTTTTGGCTGTAATCTTTGTACAGTTGTGTGTTTCTATTAGCATTTCTACGACTCATAATCCAGTAACAGCATGTCTGTAAATGAAAGCCCTGATAAAATGAAACCGGAATAGACACAAATCTGATCCAGGACTTACGTTTGCAAACTTGGGTTCGACCCAAACGCTTGAGTTCTGAGGCTGGGTAGTAAAGAGTGACACCTGAGCGCCCCAAACGTATAATCATAATCGGTGTCACAGCGGGTAAAAGGAAAGGATGAGGAACACAAACTGGTTCCAGCTGAGACTGATGTAGGAAGATTGGAGATCGGGACGAGGAATGAATGAGCTGATGTCTGAGCGGTGAGCAGATCTTCCTGATATGGATGTCCTGCGGTCACGCCTTCCTCGCTGCTCACTGGTTGTGATGCACGAATGTAAACATCTGCTCCTTTAGCTCCCGATCAGATGATGACAGCTTCACCAGTGCTGCATCAGTAACGGAAACGGTGTTGTCATGATGGAGAGAGTAATTAATTAGATTACAAGTCACTGTCAGTAACGCCGTTCGTCCCATCTCTGACAGCAGGTGAGGGGGCAGGCCATCCTAACAGTTTTTACATCCATCCTGCTGAAAAACTCAGACTTCAAGACTTACAGAACTAAAACAAGATTTCTTCTGTAAATGGTGTTGTTGATCGGGATGAGAGATTAAACCCATTCTCTGTGCTGAAATGGTTTTCTTTAAGGTTATTTCAGAGAGGGGTTTTTGGCCGTGCAGCATGCCGTTGATCGAGCCATCATGACCGCCTACAACAGAACTGCTGCTTGGAGTCTGCTGCCACAGACCAGAGTGGTCCTGTCCCGGTTTCCGTACCCTGCTTTCATATACGACGTCTTCATCCTGGCCATCCAGAACCAGCTGCCCCTCCTCCTGGTGCTCAGCTTCACCTACGTCTCCCTCAACATCGTCAGAGCTGTGGTGCAGGAAAAGGAACGGAAGCTCAAGGTGTGTTTATGGGCCTCGTTGTGACCAGAGCTGAAAAAATAAGTTTAACGTATAAAAACTGAGACTTCTGCCTTTTCTGTGACTTTTAGGAGTACATGAGGATGATGGGTCTCAGTAACTGGCTCCACTGGAGTGCTTGGTTCCTGATGTTCTTCCTCTTCCTTTCTATTTCCGTTTTTTTGGTTACCCTGCTTCTCTGTATCCAGGTGAGTTGGTGTTTTTTTCTGGTTAAGCTTGCATTTTTCTATATTTGTTGATTTTCTTATTGTACGAAACCAACTCGGAGCTCTAAGCAATTGTTCAAATTTGTCTTGAGGATTTGTGTTTATAAGGAGAAAGGAGAAAAAGAGGAATTGGCTTAAAAATGCAAACAATTACATTTTTACTCAGTTTAATTCCCTTTTAAAAGTCAATATGTTTCACTTTTGACATTTATTCTATCTGAACTCTGTCTTTTTTGTCTCCTTTTGTTACATTTTGCTGAAACCGTCTCACACCTCAGTTAAACCCAAAATGATTCATGGAGTGACTCAAATGATTGAATTAGGAAAAAGTCCTAGAGGCAAAGTAATTAGATTTGATGCGGAGCTTATGGCATGTGACATCTTACTGCTCAGGAGTCATGAGGGCGGTTATTCCTGTCGGACAACATGGAGGACGTACGATGAGAAAACTAGCAAAAGAGATGAGGAAGCTTCAAGGTTTAGGACTTCATAAAAGGAAATCACAAAAGTTAAACTGAAGGATTTTCTCATAAGAATGTAACTTCACTGATTTAGCAAAAATGGTAAATGGTAAATGGCCTGTATTTGATATAGCCTTGATAGCGCCTTCTAGAGTCCTGGAACCCCCCAAGGCGCTTTACAACACAATCAGTCATTCACCCATTCACACACACATTCACACGCTGGTGGGGATGAGCTACAATGTAGCCACAGCTGCCCTGGGGCGCACTGACAGAGGCGAGGCTGCCGAGCATTGGCGCCACCGTTCCCTCCGACCACCACCAGCAGGCAACGTGGGTTAAGTGTCTTGCCCAAGGACACAACGACAGCGACAGACTGAGCGGGTCTCGAACCAGCGACCTTCCGATTGCGAGGCGAGCACTTAACTCCTGTGCCACCGTCGCCCCTTCCACAAGTTCTAATCGCCTGCTTAACACATGACATCAAGGCGCAAAGGCAGCTCACAGCGCTCAAGAAACATTCTGATGAAGTACTTGTTTTACTTTTAGGTAATTATTTGTGTCACTACTTTTCCGTACCACCCACCTCTGGTCTAAGCCTTTTTGTTTTGATGCTGCTTGGCTGAGACGTTCAGCTGGACCCCTTCGTTTACACCACTGCCTCCTGGACAACCCCACATCGGAGCGCGCTGCTAGTACCGGCTCAGACATTGGGCCTTTTCCCACCAGCTAAATATACGGAGCAAACATGCGCACTACCCTTGATCTGCTCCACACTGTGAAAACCCGCTCTTCCACATTAGAACTTCCACTGCTTGGCCTTGTCTGACTTTAGCTCGGCCTGTTCTCTTTCCAGCTGGGTCATCATCAGGGACCTTACCCGGCTTTGGATATCTTGAGTCCAATTTGCACAACCCCCAAAAGCAGTGCTAGCTCCTTCCTGCCTGAGCATCTCGTGGAGACAAAATGACAACTTTGTGATGATCGGAGAGACAGACCCACAAGCACCCATGCTTGTTTGTCCAGGGTTACCTCTCAGAAAGCGTTTTGACGTTAAGTCACGATCTGTTTTTAGCTACTGTGAAAGACTATTAAAAAGGTGTTCCATATTTGACAACCAATCTTTAAAGGTGCAGAATGTTGATTCCTTCTGTCTGCATGAAATCAAGTAAAGAGAAAACTATTTGTCTCTGATGCTCTCATTCAGCTCGACATACGAGACTTTCTAACCTGGGAAAAAAGTAAAAAAGAACATTTACACACTCGTCCTTTTCACTTTGTGTAAAATGATTCATGAGTTGTTGGACGTCTTTGGGCAAGACACTCAACCCACCTTGCCTGCTGGTGGTGGTCGGAGGGACCGGTGGCGCCTGTGCTCGGCAGGCTCGCCTCTGTCAGCGCGCCCCAGGGCGGCTATAGCTACATTGTAGCTCATCCCCACCAGCGTGTGAATGTGTGTGTGAATCATCTACATACATACGAGACAATTCGTGCCCATAGGCTCCAATTATAAGTTTTTGTGCCAAAATGGGAGGTGGCCACCACCGCCATTTTGACCGTGTCAAAGGTTCCGTCAAGCCCAGACAATTCCAAAAAAGGGAAAAGAGGTGGAGTTGAGGGTGGGGCTGTAAGGCTGGGATCAAATGACGACACCCGTAGAACTGAAGCAATGTAGCTACAAGCTAATCCAAAGATAACGCAGAAGTGGGAGCTAAGCTAATGGAGGTAACTGCCTAGCTACAACCAGAGTTAACTGTGCACAACACCGGAGCTTCTGAGTCAGAGATGCGCTGGGGTGACTGCTGGGTAAAACCGGGTGGAACACAGAGGTCTCCCGAGAGCTCCGCAAGCCGGCAGCTGCGTAGCAGACGGGCGCCGCTGCGATCAGAGATGCGCCGAGCTGCCGCTGAGGCGAGGGGACCATACCGATAGTCGGAACCCAGCTCCACCAACATGTCACATTTCTACCCATTTTCTAAATTGCAGCTTTATGTTAAATGCACTGGATTTTACCCTATTACATTTAAATTTCATGGTTAAATAGTACATGTTAAAATCTAAGCTAGTGCAAGTGCGGCAGTGGTCTAAAATACATAAATATAATTTTACTTACCGGAAGAAATGAAGTGGAGACTCCTTGGACGCTCTATTAGTGCTATTAATGCCACAGCAAGTCATTTTGTTCAACAATTGCACAAAAAATATCCAAAAAAGAATACACAAACGCTACAACTAATGGTCTAAGTTGAGAGACTGAAACTAACGGAACAGTTTTCAGGCGAGGCCGAGGCTCAGACTGAGGCCTTTCCATGGAGCTAGCTCTGTGGTCACGTGGGTCGGATGCTCATTAATTATACAGAATTTTAGACTTTTAATACACTTAAACAGAAGAGTGAGAAAAACATTCACCCCCCTCAGAGTTGTCATGAGTGTCAACTAGATCATTTAAACCAAAAACATGTTTTGGAACCAGGCTGTAAACATGTTTATTTCTGCTGTGAAATTGGTATTTTTAACATGGGAGTCAATGAGGATTTGCTCGCTTCTGATACCAGCCCCCAGCGGATGAGGGTGGAACTGCAATTTTCGTTACTTCCTGTTTTGCTTCATATCCAGACCAGAATTATGGAGGCTTGGTGTGTATGGGTGAATGACTGATTGTGTTGTGAAGTGCCTTGGGGGGTAGTAGAACCCAAAGAAGACACGGCATCCTTTTGTTTTACTCTAACATCGGGTGAAGAAGACTAGAGGCTAACGTTAACAATGCTAAAAGTAAATTAGAAGCAAATAGTCAGCTCTAAAAATATCTTATGCTACTTTTCCAATTACCAGCAACTCGATGATACAGAGAACTGTGTGTGTGTGAAGTGAATAATGAGTCAGTTGTGGTGTTTTACTTCCTTTAATGAGTCGTTCAGTACTATACATCAAGATGGCAAATACCACACTCCCTCTAATGACATAGTCATACTACCGTAATAAATGTAGTAAGTGCTCCCTAGCGTCAAACACCCAAGATTGCTAACACCAGATATGACCCATCAGTTTACTGTGTATGACTCGTCTTTGCTTGTCATCTCGAGTCTTCTGGTGGTGATTCGTAACTGGCAACAGCCATGAAACAGAACAGGAATGAGTCTTTTTTTTTTTTTTTTTTTTAGACAAATAGGCTGCAGTATCCACATTTAACTACAGGATGTCAGTCTTACATAATTCTTACATATTGCTTTGGGTAAATAAGAAAAGCACATAAGATTCGATAGCTGCAGACTTAACACACATTGCGTTTTAAAATATTAAGATCTGTTTATCTTTTTTTGTGCAGAATTTCTCGTCAAGATTGACATTTCTTTGGAAACACAACTTCATCTTCTCTACTTGTTTGGCTCAGAGTTAATGTTTTTAATTCCAGGTGTTGGGTTCTGAGGCATTCAAGTGAGCTGGAGGAAGTAGCTGTCAGTCACAGGATAGGTCAACAAAAGATGATAAGATGATTAAAACCTGTTTGCCAAGATTTTTTCTTTTTGTCACACTTCTTGTATTGTGAAGCGCACACACACACACACACACACACACACACACACACACACACACACACACACACACACACACACACACACACACACACACACACACACACACACACACACACACACACACACACACAGTGATGTTTTTTTTCTTTCTCAGTCCTCTCCTCCATTAACACACTCTATGGCAAGCCGTTTTAACATATAATCAGTAATAGGACCTCTCATTAATTCCTATTTTGAATTGCAATAATATAATTTATCGTAGTACTAATTACAAGCCAAAATTGCGAATGCAGACATCAACAGCTATGTTGTTACTGGTAGAAATTATAATTAAGGATATCTGTAATAACCACTGCACTAGTAGGACTTAAGTTTGAGATATCTCCCAATAAACCTAAGATGACCTTTTTAACATTCATTAGGCAGACTGGATGTTTATTCCAGATATCTGTAACACTATTGTTCCTAGTAGAAATGAACATTCCAGATATCCATACTGTCCACAATGACCGTTTCAGACATCTGAAAATAAATTCTTCCTAGGACAAATGATGTCACATTTCCCATTGGTGTGTATTGGGTCTGTAGCGCCCCCTATCCACAATTACATTCTTCCTGTCAAGAATGGACATTGTGGATAGGAGAAATGGAGAATCAGTGGTAGAGTGTCTTTGCTGTTAGCCAATCAGAGGCGAGATGTCAGATTATGAGGAAATAAGACTCCAAATCCTGCCGTCTGTAGCTCAAGTCTGCTGCAGCCCCCCCCCCCCCCCCCCCCCCAGAGATCGACTCACATTCATTTATGCTAAACTTGGTATTTAAACATTTTAGAGAAGTTTGGGCACCCCTGCTTTAGTGCCAGTGAATATATTTTTGTTGTTTTTATCTCATTTAGCCTTGAAAACGATTATTCATGTGCTCGATTCTTTCAGTTTCATTTAACCACAAATTCCTCGTTTTATTTGTAATATTCCTGATTTTGCAGCTAGGTAATTAAAGAAGAATGCATTTTTACCTGCGATTTGTTCCTCACTAGATTTAACAACCTGAATACCGGTGTCTGAATGTGATGAACGTGGGAGTAAGTGTTGTTCTGGGATTGCAGGTGAGCCCTAACGGAGCAGTGCTGTCCCGAAGCGACCCAACGCTGGTCTTCGTCTTCCTGCTCGTCTTCACTGTCGCCACCATCAACTTCAGCTTCATGATCAGCGCCTTCTTCTCACGAGGTGGGCAGCTGGGTTCTCTTTGAAGAAAAGATTAGGGGGTTTTTGTCTCTGTCTCCTTTGGGTAAATTGGTTTGGCATGACTCTCATTATGCTGCCGTGTGTGGTCTCTGAGATTAGCTGGTCCAACGCATAAAAACAAATCGAATGGCTCTAAGAGCAGCTCTGACTACATGGCAATGAAAGTATCTCAGTAATGTTAAACATCCCCTGATGCCTGTTTTATGGTGCTATTTTCTCAGTTGTAAACAGAAAGTTTAGCAAATCACATGTAACTCTGGACATCTCTGCAGGCGTTTCAAATCAAAACACTGTTCAGCCCAGACAACCTCAGCGTTAAGAGAAACTATTTAAATCTGCCTTTTCTCACGTTCCTTCCCCTCCCTCTTCCTTTTCACTCTTTCTAAGACTCTCTTTCAAACCCTCCTTCCAGTTTACTCCAACAAAGCAGCTCAGATTGCTCAGACTTCTCGGGCTAGCCTCCTGAACAGCAGTTTGCTGTTACTTAGCAGTCAGATAAAATATTATAAAACCATTTGCTCATTTTAATTTCCCTGCAACATTATGCATATTACATTTCTAGTGCACAGACACACGTATGCTGTTAGTTCAACACTTATGTGTTTAATGGTTCTCATAGAAAAAGCAGGTATATGAGAGACCAACCACACACAGGCTCCTTCTGAACAGAACGGGCTGTTTTTGTTCATCTTCGCTGGCTCCTGTCTGGACGTCTCTCTCCCACCCTTCGGTGTACTTTTTTGGAACGGATGATGACACTTGATCTTAGCAGGCTGAACATGTCACACTGACCGATACTAGCTCTCGTCTCCCTCTCCCTGTTCACATTACCCATCTCCCTCCTCCTTTTAGCCTCCATAATGCTCCATCCAACATTCAGATCTCACCAAACTGCTCGTGTTTTGTGTGAGCTGGGTCTTATCAGCTAACAGTCTTATGATAACTTCATTTACATTCCTGTCATTTTTCACACACTGACTCTCTGCGCTCTAACTCTAGCTAATGTGGCAGCAGCAGCTGGTGGTTTCATCTACTTCCTCAGCTACCTGCCTTATTTGTTCCTGTGGCCTCGCTACGACCTACTGAGCCATGCCCAAAAGGTGTCCGCATGCCTCATCTCCAACGTTGCCATGGCAATGGGAGCTCAGCTTATCGGAATGTTTGAAGGCAAAGGTGAGGAGCTGATTTAAGGCCAAACTACCTCTCACTAAAATTCGATGATTTGTTAACACTTTCTGAATCTGTAATTTTTACAAAACTGTATTTTAGGTACGGGAATCCAGTGGTCCAACTTGTTTGACTCGGTGACGGTGGATGATGATTTCTCCTTGGCCCAGGTCCTCAGCTTGCTGCTGTTTGACTCGGTGCTCTACGGGCTGGTGGCCTGGTACATGGAGGCGGTTTTTCCTGGGGAGTACGGCGTGCCTCTACCATCGTACTTCTTTTTACTGGTATGCTTTAAAATCAGATGCTTACTGTAAATGCTCACACCCACATACAGTTATACCCATGCATTTATATTTTTTATCGTTAAAGATTGGATTCATTTTTTTTGGTATTACGTCTGTGTCCCCTTTAGTATCAGTTTATGTCTGAAACCAAAGGAAGGAAGCTCAGAAGGTGTGATGTTGCATCCCTTTTCCTATTGGAAAACATTTTCATAACGATTCAGATTCACTCCTGATTCAGTATTGAGCTGGTACAGCTGTTGGTTGTTGATGTCGGCTTTGTGCTTAAGAGCCCAGAAACACGTCTGCTGTGTGGGAGAGTGGCTCTGATGCAGCTAGTCACAAATACAGGAAATGGCTGGGTCTCTGCAGCCAACACAAATTTGCTTGCATGTGTATATACACACACGCACGCATGCACACACACACACTAAAATAAACTAATGCTAATCTATTTCCCTCTAGTCAGGAATTCAAGAGACTGCCAGCAGGGTGGAGTTTAGGCGTTGACGCACTTCAGTCTGTATCTATTGTGTGTGTGTGTGTGTGTGCGTGTGTGTGCGTGTCTGTGCGTGTCTGTGTGTGTGTGTGCGTGTCTGTGTGTGTGTGTGTGCGTGTGCGTGTGTGTGTGTGTGTGTCTGTGTGTGTGTGTGTGTGTGTGTGTGTGTGTGTGTGTGTGTGTGTGTGTGTGTGTGTGTGTGTGTGTGTGTGTGTGTGTGTGTGTGTGTGTGTGTTCTGTATAAACCGAAGGTTTGACTCTGGTTCTTAGGAAGTGCATCCATGGGGGTTTTGGCCTGGATACATTTCCTTCTTAGGGGAATATTAAACAATACTAATGTTGGCTGCAGTGTTCTTTTCAAGTGTTGTTTGCTAATAGTAATAACGTTTGATGTTATGTTGACGTTTTGAGGCCTGACTTGTGACACTTTTTAACGTAAATGACTACAGCCTTCGTACTGGTGCAGCACTCCTCGTGTGGCTTTGCTGAAGGAGAAGGAGGAGGAGGAAGATGCAGAAAAGGCTCTGAAAGGAGAGTTCATGGAGGAGGAGCCTGCTGGAGTGGTTTCTGGAATAAAGATTAAACACCTCACCAAGGTGAATAGCACACTTTTGTTTAGAGTGATTTATTTATTATAGGAGTGTCTGGATTCTGAGCAAATAAAGGTTTGCTCATGACTCCTTTGATTTTGGGTTGATTCTTTTGTAGGAGTTTAAAGTAGGCAGCAAGACACGACAGGCTGTACAAGATCTGACGCTGAACATGTTCGAGGGACAAATCACCGTGGTGCTAGGACACAACGGCGCTGGGAAGACCACAACTCTGTCCATGCTCACAGGTTGCCAGTCCAACCACGTGTTCAAGCAGCAGACACAACACACCCTGTTACCCTGGTCGTATTCACACGCTCACCTTGGTGTTTCAGGTCTCTTCCCCCCCACCAGCGGCATGGCCTACATCAACGGTTACGACATCTGTCAGGACATGGCCCTGATCCGACGCAGCCTGGGACTCTGCCCGCAGCACGACGTGCTGTTTGATAACCTCACAGTGAGAGAACACCTGCTCTTCTATGCACAGGTATCACCTCCGTTATGCACCGAAGTAAAAGTAGAAAGTCACCTTTAACTCAACTTGGAGGTCAGGGTCAGCTGGTGGCTGATATCTAGACGTGTTCACTTTATTTTCATGTTAAAGTTTCACTAAAACATCAGTGGATGCACAAAATGTCTGAAGCGGATTCAGCTTTTGAATTCTGGCTTTAACCAACCGTTAAATCTTAATTTTGGTAAATGGCCTGTATTTGATATAGCGCCTTCTAGAGTCCTAGAACCCCCCAAGGCGCTTTACAACACAATCAGTCATTCACCCATTCACACACACATTCACACACTGGTGGGGATGAGCTACAATGTAGCCACAGCTGCCCTGGGGCGCACTGACAGAGGCGAGGCTGCCGAGCACTGGCGCCACCGGTCCCTCCGACCACCACCAGCAGGCAACGTGGGTTAAGTGTCTTGCCCAAGGACACAACGACAGCGACAGACTGAGCGGGACTCGAACCAGCAACCTTCCGATTATGGGGCGAGCACTTAACTCCTGTGCCACCGTCGCCCCAATTTTGTGCACTACTTGGTGTTAAAATCCAACGTCTAACCAAAGTTAATCAAACAAATCAGTGAACAGACCAAGTATTAAATATTCTGAACTGGTGAATAAAAAAATGTAGTTGAAAATAAATTTTAGAGCATTTATTATTCAGATGTTATTCAGAAACATAAAAACATGGTTAAATATATTCAGCTGCAGCACCGGGCTGCCTGGGGCTGTGCCTGACTTTAAACTGGCTTTACTGAGGATGTACATCGGCCCGATATACCGGTCCACCTGCATCTCCACAAACACACTCGCTCACCTTAAGTTATCCGGGGGATGTTGAGCTCACCTTACCTGCAAAAACCAACCAAGTTCCAGAATATTCCAGAGCTCAGACTGTCTAGCAGTCAGTTCAGGATGCTAGCTGCTTTTTCAAGCAGGAACAAGTTGAGTTTTTTTTTTTGTTCTTGATCAAACTTTATAGATGACTAAGAAGTAACTTGGAGCGTTAGCGATGTCTCATCCAGATTCTTATAATTATTCCAGTGGAAAAGCTGCCGAATCTTCTTAGGCATAAAGATGATGAAACTCTTTGAACAAGATGTAGGAAGTTTGGTTGCTGTTAACTGAAACGATTGGAGCGAAATGCTGTTCGTCTCTGAATCTTTTTAAACTTCGGGTTAGACCTGTCTTGCTTAGTTTGATCCATCCAGCGAAGCGGTGTTTTGCTCTTGGATTTCACACAAAAAGGCCCCTTTACCCCGGTCTCCTGAGATGCTTTTGGAGTGAATGAAAGTATCTGTTTTTGTACTCTATTGGTTTTCTCTGCACTCAGCTAAAAGGATACCCCAAGGAGAAGATATCTGATGAGGTGGATAGGATCCTCCACATCCTGAACCTAGAGGACAAGCAAAAGGCTCGCTCCAAGACCCTCTCTGGTGGCATGAAGAGAAAACTTTCTATTGGCATCGCCCTCATCGGTGACTCCAAGGTGAGGACCTTCACAAGCGTCACTTATTATGACGTTTTATTCATTGATTTGTTTAAAGCCTCCTCTGCGACCGAGGTGGACGCCCAAGGTGCTGAGCACAACACAAATACAGTAATCCCCCGTTTATCGTGGTAGATGCATTCCAGACCTGGCCGCGACAGGTGAAAATCCGCGAAGTAGGGACTCCCAGCATGCCCCTCGCGGGGATTCCCTCCACGTCGCACCTACGTCACAAACCGCGGCTATAAACGGAAGTCGCCTTTCCAGCTCACCACTCAGTCATCGTTTCTTCAGATTCATGATCAGAGTTTCCAACCTACCGATCAATCCAACGAACTATCAGCTCATAGTAAGTTATCTTACTTACTTCTGGAAAGCCCGGCATTTCCGTGTCACTTCGTTGACGCTCGAACGCTCGAGGGTTTCCTAAATCAGCCGGTGTTTCACAGACGCTCTCACTTCCGCGTCTGTGAAACCACGCTCCCTACAAGCTCAACTCCCGAATCCAGCCGACCTGTCTGACATACAGTACTACATTGAATTATCGTATGATCACATTCTCTTTTTGTGGGTAAAACTGAAGAAAAAAATTTTTTTTACTTGTTTTTTTTAGTTTTATTACAAAAAGTGCATTTTATGATGAAATTGATGAAAAAAAAACAAGAATTTCTTGATATTTCGCATAGAAAAATACCGCGAATCAGTGAAAAATACCGCAAATCTGTGAATTCCCCCTGAAAAATGCTCCAAAGAAAAAATCCGCGAAGCAGCGAATCCGCGATGAACGAACCGCGAAGTAGCGAGGGATTACTGTAAAACATAAACCAACAAATAAAATTAACAATCGTAGAACCATCATAGAAACGTCAAAAGTTAAAATGGACAATAAGATACAGCTAAAGGAATAAGAGGCCAGGTCAACGAAACCAAGTAAAAAATGCTAATCCTGGAACGCTTTGACATAAAAGTGGTTCTTGAAAACCACCAGAGTCCTGCTTCTCCTCATCTCCAGGTGGTCATGTTGGACGAGCCCACGTCGGGGATGGATCCGTCAGCTCGCCGAGCCACCTGGGATCTGCTGCAGGGAGAAAAGCTCAGTCGCACCATCCTGCTCACCACCCACTTCATGGACGAGGCCGACCTGCTCGGTGATCGAATCGCCATCATGGCGGGAGGCGAGCTGCAGTGCTGCGGCTCACCGCTCTTCCTCAAGAACAAATATGGTAAATAGAGACAGAAGAGGAGAACATTTAAAAGATTTTTTGAGCTTGAGATCTGCACAGTCGTGCCAAAGACACAAGAACATTTAGATTTTGCTGCTTCATGCAGGCGCCGGCTACCACATGGTGATTGTTAAGGACGCCCTCTGCAACGTCTCTGAGATCAGCCGCCTTGTCCACCTGTACGTTCCTAATGCTACGCTGGAGAGCAGCGCCGGAGCAGAACTCTCCTACATCCTACCCAAAGAAAGCACCAGCAGGTGAGTTTGTCTGGCCGAACAGAATTACAGCATGTAAAGGGGCCCGGTGGCTCCTGTAAATCTGGTTAAACTAACACCGGCTGATTAAATGTCTGAAAACGGTGCATAAATGACTACAATTACACTAATTAACTCTTGTTTCAGGATGAATAAATTAATTTTGTGAATGACGGGTCTTTAGCTCTTAGGGTTGTCACGGTATGAAAATTTAACCTCACGGTTATTGTGACCAAAATTATCACGGTATTCGGTATTATCGCGGTATTTTTTAAACGGTGTTGCACAAAGCCTTAGCAAAAGTGCAACTTTTCACAAGTAAAGGAACAAATATCTTCTTTTTCTGGAACATGTTACAGTAGTCAGTGCAGGTTTAAATTATACAAATCCAAACATTCAAAACATAAACAATATGTAAACAAATCAAAGAAACACCACTTGTTTTCTCATATACTTGTTTTCTTCATTATCAAAATGAAAATCTAAAACTCCAGTCCACACTTGACTTGAGCGCTGTACAAGTCAACCTTAAAAAAAATATGTAGTTAAAATAAATAGCCACTTTAAACAAATTACTAAAATAACTACTACACTATGTAATCAAATCAAAATGTTCAAGTATAAATGGCATTGAATAAGTAAACAAATCAATGACAAGGAACTAATTGTATATTTCTCTTCATCATCAACAAATAAGATGCTTCATCCAGCAACAGGGTGTCCGTGACACGGTTTAAATGCTGGCAGAGGACGCTGCGGCTGCAGTCTATAGTGACACGTTGCATTCTCCCTCAACCAAAAGTCCTCACGTCATGCATTTAAGCTAAAATGCTAATGTTAACTTACCTTGCACTGGCTGTAGAGACGTGGGTGATCGTCACTCAGATGTGCCATTAGATTCGAAGTGTTGCAGCCTTTTGCAGACACTTGTTTCCTGCACGTTCTGCAAACGGGATAGCCGTCTTCTATTAACTGTCCCTCAGCATTTTTCAGAAATCCAAAGTATGCCCATACTTCCGATTTAGTCTTCTTTGAGGGCTGATGGATGTCCTGGGCGCTGCCGTCTCCTCCTCCGGCCATTATTTCAGCTTCAAAGTTTTGGTGCCGTTGCAAACTAAAAAGTGCGTGTGCGCGGGAACTTCAGCTGAAGCGACGGTGGCTGGTAAGGGTCACCGCGCCGAAACCGCGGCCATGGTAAACCCACCGAGATAATTTTGTTTTTTAAAAACTGGACGGTTATTTTTATTGTCAACTTTTTTACCGGGGTTTACCGCTATACCGGTTACCGTGACAACCCTATTAGCTCTGAAGTAGAGGTAAAAACTAGAATAAATCTGGTGAATTTATTATAACTCATTTTATCTTTAGGTATTTGCCTCATTGTTCTCTTGTGCAGTTTTGTAAAATAGAAATAATCAGAACAAAAGTTAAGGTGAATAAAAATGTTGAACTTGCAGGTTCGAGCTGCTGTTTGCGGAGTTGGAGATGAACAAAGAGGAGCTGGGCATCGCCAGCTACGGCGCCTCGGTGACCACCATGGAGGAGGTTTTCCTCAGGTGGGACAAACGCGGGGATTACGTGGGATTGTCCTGATTTAGTGAGGCTCATTCTCTGTTCATGCAGCTGTTTCCTTAGACATCCATTTCCATGCATTAGAAAATGGGTTCAACTCCCATCAGTTAAATCACATCAAAACCTGCTTTCAGAGATCATTTTCCCTTTTACTTTCAGAAACAACTAAAAGCATTTTTATCCTTTTGTGTGTTTTCTATGAAATTCTCCTGTGATTTAGAGCAACGTTAATATCAGGCTAATGTGTCTGCGTTAGACCTTAGCTAGCATTATTCAGTCCCAGCTGCTCACATGGCACATCTTCCTGCTTCCTCACCCTCCTGATTCATGTATCTGTGGCAACAAGCACAAAAACCGCTCCCACTGCAGAAGAATCACACCGCGTGCCACCTCAGCTGGCTAAATTTGTGCTCTCAGAGCCTCATTAGGTACCTGCCATACTGAGAGCCCAGCGGTGAGTTCTGGTCATTTCCACAAATACAACAAGAAATCAAACAAAACCCCAGGACAAGCTGTCATCAAGCATCTTTTTGTTAGTTTGTGTTTCACAGCCAAGTGGCTCATTTGGTGTTCTGTCCTTTATTCACCTCTGAAAAGACCAACAATAGGCCACGTAGTGATTTTATTATGGTTTTAAAACACAAATGCTAAAAATGTAACTGAACAAAAGAAGCGGATGAGCAAAAAGCTGAAATATGAAAGAGTCTGTCCAATTAAAATTGGACTCTTGAGTGTGGGCGTGTGCGTTTGCAGCCGCGCACCTGTGAAAAACACCAAAGATAACAGGGTAGTGGAAGCTCACAAAGACTCTTTGTACCTGTGGAGATGAGTGTGGACGTTACAACTGGAGCTGTGTAAAAGCCTCCTTTCATGGATAACTCCAGCTCAAAAATAGCAGCCCTGGCCCTCCCCACCCTACTCGGCCTTTTAAGATGTTTACATGAAGATTTTGATATATTTAAACAGATTTTAATTTAATATCCATCTTTCTGTCTGTAGATCTTTTTATTTACGTTTCCTGTCAGAGCTTTTATGTATTTTGTCTTTAAAGGGGCATTATGGAAGTTTGACAGCCAAAACATGTATAGAAATAATAAATGTCTTCTTCATACATTCTCCTGCAATGCCCTGGTCCTGTAGAATGAGCCCTGGCATTTTTACTATGATTGCCAGTTTTTCTGTAAAATCACAGAAAAAGAGAGATGCTCGGGTCGAGCAGGCTGCTTCATGCGCGTTCACGCTCAGGCATAGCCCGTAGCATTTGCTGTCCGTAGCTTTAGCAGCAGAGAGAGAGGCAGTGCCAACTCAGCGACTTTGTCGCTGTTCCTAACGCCTAGTGACAAACCTAGCTACATATCTGAGGACCCTTAGCTACTTTCTGTAGAACTTTCTTCTAGATATTTCCTGCAAATTAGCAACAAAATTGCCATTTTCGCTCCGAACTGTTCTTTGGTTTGACCTTGTTTCAGCTGTCATCAAGAATATAAATGTTACAGATTCTGTGAATGTTACTGGCGCTTTAGCTCACCTTGTAAGATGTCTGACTGCCATGCAGAAGACCGGGGTCCGATTCTGGATGTGAACATAGTTTATTTAGAGTTTATTTTTTACATTAATGGTATATGTTTTTACAGTAGGATGCCCAAATTTTTATTTGAGACTCGCCGAACGGCTTTGCATTCACAGATAAAAAAGATGTGGGTTCAACTTTAATTTTGGAACAAATATTTCAAGCAAGGGAAGGGAATGATCTGAGCATGCAGGGAGACTGACCCATCTTAAACCTTTGTCGGCTGTGCTGAAGAGAAAGGTACAGAACCAAATTATTTAATTAATTAGCTGCGCGTTCTCCTGCCCTCTGTCCTCCGGGACACACACACACGCACGCACGCACGCACGCACGCACGCACGCACACACACACACACACACACACACACACACACACACACACACACACACACACACACACACACACACACACACACACACATACACATACACATACACACACACACACACACACACGGGACTGTCTCAGCTGTTATTTTCGTTAAGGAGTGTGCACGTACAGCATGCGTGCCTCGTGTACGAGCCTACTATTGAAGCTGCCGTTACGCTTTTGACCTGAGGGGGCAATCGCGAGCATAACAATTCAAAAGTCCGTAACGTCCCTTTAAGGGACTGAATCATCTTCTGATTCTTGGTTAATTTGTGTTTTCAGAGTTGGGAAGCTGGTGGACTCTAGTTTGGACATTCAGGCCATCCAGCTGCCAGCTCTGCAGTACCAACACGAGAGACGCTCACATGACTGGACGATGGATGACGCCAGCAGCATCAGCGCTCTGACCGACGTCACCGATTTCACAGACAGCGGCACGCTCATCTCAGATGATTGCTCCAACATCAAGCTGAACACGGGGGTGAGGATTAACTGTGTAACGGTTTGTGTGCGACACGCACGGTTTGTAGAGAACTCAGTGTGTTTCCTTCACCAGATGAGACTACACCTGCAGCAGTTCTACGCCATGTTCTTAAAGAGGGCGCTGTACAGCTGGAGAAACTGGAAGGTGATGGTGGCTCAGTTCCTCGTTCCTCTAATCTTCACCGTCATGGCCATAGTTGTAGCGCGGACCCTCCCCAACAGCCGGAACGACCCTCAGCTGAGGCTGGACCTCAGTCGTTATGGTCCCACCAGGGTCCCTGTGGCCCTGCAGTCGAGCTCGGGGCCCCTTGCTTCAGCCTTGGCAGAACTGTACAGCTCACAGCTATCGCCTCAGCTCGGTCAGCTCATCAATATCACAGGTGGGATCAGCTGCACTCAGATGTTTGGGCTTCATTTGAATTAATTATGCCAATTTATTAATTCAGCCACAAAAGATCTAGAAAGAAAAAAAATACAATTTTCCAGAATTCAAACATGAATGTTTATACGTCTTTTCAGTATTTCCTGCTGAGATGGTGTGGCCTCGTGGGGTCCATCGGCTAGCACGCTGCTGCTAACCACTTAAACATTCTTCCTCTCCTGTTTTTAACATTTTACTCTCTTGTGCTTCTACTAGTTTACCTGTTGGGTTAATTTTAGATTTACTAACATGAAGACAATGAAGTTTATCTCTCACTAAATAGAATATTTACTAAGCAATCACAATGTTACCATAGAAACACTGCTTGGTATGTTGTTTGTGTGTGCTAGGGATGGGTACCGAATTCGGTACTTTTTAAGGTACCGACCGAATTCCACAATACCGACGGAGCACCGATTCACTTCATTTGAAACGGTGCCTCGTTTCGGTACCCGTCCTTCACTACGAGAACTTGCCTAGACAACTGCGCATGCGCAAGAGCGTTATGTCATCGGTCGCTGCGAGCGAGATGTAAACAGAGCAATGTTAGCTTGATTTGTTAGCTTCCGTTTCACTAATGGTGCGTTCACTTTCTCCTCGGAACTCCGAAATTCCGACTAGAAGAACATGAACGCGCTCTAAAGTTTAGAAGAACATGAACGCGCTCTAAAGTTTGGCTTCACTTTACTAAATGCGACGGGTGATTGGGTGAAGATGAAACCAGTGACAACGATTTAAGTGTGAGGCATCATCGTTTAAATCTGCTCCAGCAGTTAAATAAACTGTTTAAGATAACGTTAGCTTGATATGTTAGCTTCCTATGCCACCATTGTTATCATTAAATGGTGCGTTCGCTTTCTCCTTGGAAATTCTAACTTCCCAGTAGGAAAAATCAATTGAAAAAGGACGGCAAAAGGAATGAAGATACACAGTAAATTTAGTTCACAGTAAAGATGTTTGCTTCAGTTTAATTATCAACTTATAAAACTACAAGGACGATGTTAAAATACAAACAGTTGTATGTTATTTATCATGATATTTATCAAATATGGTTATATATTGAGAAAAAATATATTTAATTATAAAAGAGAATTAAAAATAATAAACACTCAAAAGTATCGAAAATTGGCACCGTTAAGTACCGGTATCGATTCGTAGGTACCGGGAATTAGTACCGGATCGATTCAAATGTCAAAGGTACCCATCCCTATGTGTGTCTGTATGTGTGTGTGTGTGTGTGTGGGTGTGGGTGTGGGTGTGGGTGTGGGGGTGTTTGCTGGTGTTTTGTTGGGCGATATAGTCGTGACGCGACTCTTAGAGTTAGAGTGACGTAAACGGCTCGTATTAAACACGGTAAAGTGTTAAAAGAAGCCTCGTCTTTCCCCTGTGGGGCTCACCGTTGTGGTATTTTATTTTAAGCTGAATGTTTTTTTCTGAACAAAGGCTACTGGATTTCTTTCTTTTATGAGTTTAAGTAGGAAATGAAATGAATCGCTGCTGCGTTTGGACGCACTCGCTCACAGCCAGAGGTCACATGACGCATTTATCCCCGTCACTTGTTTTTAAAATAATAATAAATAATCCTTCAGTACCATTAAATTTCCATTTATTTTTCATTAATATTTAGCCCAAACAAGCTGAACAGAGTGCCCCAGTAACATAGAAACAATGTAATAAAAAATATTTAATTAAATTAGGAACATTTCACCTGCTGCGGCCCGAACGAGCGCTCATTCCTTCTGCTCCGCGTAAACCTGAACTGGTCAGCTGCTTGTGTGTAATATATGTCTCCAGGGAGCCTGCTGAAGGGGTTATGAGCAGGGTTGGAATTACGGGTGAGCCCAGCTCCCCTGGAAGCCCTCAGCTCACACACCCAGGGGAGCCAGAAAAAAGATCCTGGTTCTACTTATGTTAGGTGGTTTATGCGGTCTGCGGACTCTCCGGGGATTCTTGTGAGCAGAGAGGACGCAGAGCGCTGATCGTTGATGCGCTCCAGGCATCTGCGTCCTTCGCACGACCACAATAACATCCTCAAAGTGTCGCCACCCCAAAAACTATCATTAACACACGATCGTTTATGTCGGCTCATATCCTCTGGTCATTTATTTGGGCCTGATTTGCATCGCCTGTCTTCTGCTCCGGTGTCTTCACCTCATAGGTGCGGCCGCCGCGCGGCACACACTCCGCTATTTTTTTTTTTTTTTACTGTCGGCAGATCTCTGTGACCAGCTCAGTTAAAAAGTAACTCATCAGGTGAAAACACAGGAAGCCAGGCAGCAGTTTTTCTGTGGGGTTGAGAGGAGATGCAGAAAGATGAGAGACAGACAGGACAGAAAAGTAGTCGCATAAAAACAAGAAAGGGAAACTGTAGGTAGATTTATCCCACTACAGGGTTTTACTTGTGTAAAGGAATATTTTATAAGCATGTAATATTTATGTATTTGACACAATTCAGATCACCTTCAAAACCCAGTCCAACACCCAGGGCCGTTTCAAGGCATTTCGGGGGCCAAGGCAAATACAAACCAGTGTCATTTCCTCGTTTATTACGTCTTTACCTGGGTTACAGTTAACTGTAATGTAATGAGTTGATGAAATTGGCTCATTTCTGATGGTCCATTGATCACCCATCCATAGCAGATGCAGAACAACCATAAAGATTCATATTTCTGATGCTAACCAGTGAGAAAACCTCAGATACACCAAATAATTACCAACCAGAATGAGATCCAAGCCACTAAAACAAACCAAAGGACATAGACCACATACAGAAACAGGACTGATGGAGAACAAGAAGACTTATGAAAGCGCTGTGATTAAATAAGAAAGAAAACGATTACAAATAGACTCAAAATGACGCTGAGAGGCTGAACGTGAGTCAGAGCGACACAAACACTAAGTGACTACACCGGCACAAATAAACACACTTCTAAAAAGAGGTGTTATCTTGTGAGAGGTGTTGACCACATGTCTCCTTTGTCTTTCACCGTCCAGACTTCACAGATTACGTCCTAACCCAGACAGAGGAGGAAGGTGGCAGCTTTAATGAGCGCTGCGTGGTCGGGGCTGCCTTCCACGGCAGGACCAGTCGGTTCTCAGAAGTAACGGCCTACTTCAACAATCAGGGCTACCACACATCCGCCACAGCCCTCATGATGGTGGACAACGCACTGTTCAAACTTATAGCCGGGCCTAACGCCTCCATAGAAACAGGAAACTTCCCCATGCCTCGAAATCTATCCGAGTCTGCACGGAGCCAGATCACAGAGTGAGTACATGAGGGAGGCTGTTGACAGTTCAATGGGACAAAACTGAAATGATCAAAAATACTTCACAGTTTTAGGCCTCGAGAAAAAGGGAAATCAAGCAATTACACAAGAAAATGTGTTTTTCTGTACACAGTTATACATTTTCTGTTCAAATTAAGTCCTAATGCTGCTGGTGATTCAAGGGAATGTGGAAAAAAGCTTAAAACCTAATTTATCAGAGCATTTTGAGTCTTATTATGTGTACCTCCCTCATAATTTGTCCCATTTCATCGTTCACCTTTCCGATTGCAGGGGAAGAACAGGGTTCGCCATTGCCATCAACCTGATGTACGGTATGGCCTCTCTGTCGAGCACCTTTGCCCTGCTGCTAGTTACCGAGTCCTCCATCAAGTCTAAGCACGTGCAGAAGGTCAGCGGCGTCTACCTTTCCAACTTCTGGCTGTCGGCCCTTTTGTGGGACCTGGTGAACTTTATGCTGCCCTGTCTCCTCATGCTGGTCAGTGTGGCCTCCAGCGGCACAGTAAAGACACTGAAACTGATGAGTTTGTGTGTGTGAACCTAAATGGTTGTGTTTTCATTCTCAGGTGGTATTCCGTGCGTTTGGAGTCGATGCATTTGTTGAGAATAACCACCTAGTGGACGTGCTGCTGATGCTCCTGCTCTACGGCTGGGCTGTGGTGCCTCTCATGTACCTGCTCAGCTTCTTCTTCTCCACTGCTGCCTCTGCCTACACACGACTCACCATCTTTAATGTGATTTCCGGTACTGCCACCTTCCTGGCCGTCACTATCATGACAATCCCAGGTGAGACATGATTAATCCACGCTAGGAGGTTCTCATAATGAGACTCCCCAGAGAAAACAGATGAATCAGGTGTTGTCGAGGAAATTTCTGACGAGAAACTGATGCTTAATTAGATGTGTGAATAGCACTATTCAAGTGCTAGTTAAATTATTAAAAGTAATTATTTGTGCAAAAATTCATTCCATTCCTTAAAGCACTTACAGAAAAATACCTGCTGTGTCTACATTAGACTATGGAAGCCAGGCCTGCCTACAAACATGATTTCAACACTACCCAGGCCACCTTCTCTGTAAATTTTAGGTCTCTGATTTTGCGATCAGGCCAAAACGTTTGCTAACTAAAAAGATCCCAAAGACTCTTCTCACAAAAGTCAAACAACATCTTAGTGATCCCCAAGACTTTTGGTGCTCTGGGGACTTTGAAGACAAAAGTGGATCTTAATAAAAAAGTTTCTGTTGCATCTGGTGTAACAAACACTCATCATAGCAACAGTGAAGCATGGCGGTGGTGTGTGATGGTCTGGAGCTTGCTGCTTCAGGACCTGGACCACTTGCTGTAGTTGAAGTAATGGAACCATGAATTCTGTTCTCTACTAGAAAGGAGAATTTCCGACCTTTGACCTTAAACAGGTCATAAATGCTGGAGAACCCTAACGTGGCCATTTTACATACATTATTTGGAAAGGCTTTGTTCTGTCACTAGGTTAGATCATCATTTGAAATGACATGATGTGTCTACTCAGGTTGTATTTGATAATAAAATTTATTTGCTGAGCTGAAACATTAAAGTTTGACACACACAAAAAAACTGAAGGAATGTTTTAGGAGGGCAGATGTGTGTTTGTCTCTGTAAATGTCTAGGAATGAGTTTAAATGTCTCCTCGGCTCTTTAACTGAATAAAATCTGCAGTATTCTTGTGTGGGTAGACAGGGAGGGATCATATTCACAGAATGTTAGCACCCAGTTGATGAAAGTGCCTTTGAGGAGAAGAGTGGGATGTGCGAAGCTTTTTGATGTAGAAAGGTAAGAAACTGCTGGTGTGATGTTTTTCTCTGTGTGTTTTTACAAACTCCCGACCACGGACAGCATTCGTCAAATGCCACCAAATGTGTCTTTTCTGTTTACTGTCATTTTTAATTTCCTCTGCAGCTTTGCACCTGGATCACTTGGCTCATTTACTGGATAAAGTGTTCCTGATCTTTCCAAACTACTGCCTCGGCATGTGTGTCAGCCAGTTCTACCAGAACTTTGAGTTCATCAAGTTTTGCACCTCTAGTCCTTTTAGTGAGCTCATCTGTAAGACTCTAAGTAAGTATTGTCTCAACAGAAAACATCAGTCCTCCATTAAAATGTGTTTTTAATGTTTGTTTCAGCTAAAACTCTTGAGCAGGAAGCTGAATCTAACCTCTGAATAAAAATCCACGTTTCAGTTGAACTGAGGACTTTTTCCTTGTTTCTGCTTCCAGACATCACCTACCAGCTCAACTACTTCTCCATGTCTGAGCCTGGCGTCGGACGCTTCCTGGTGTCCCTCTCTGTGCAGGGGGCCGTCTTCAATATTTTGTTGTTTGCCATTGAGATGCAGTGTGTCCGCACGCTTTGGCGACTCCTCACTTCCCTGGTCAGAAAACGAAAACAGGTAGAGACCAAAAGATTTAACAGTTTAGATACCATTAATACTATTACGGAGCATTGTACAAAATCACATTTATTAATGTTGCAGTATGGTTCAGAAAATCAGCTGATTTAGTTTGATTATCAATTCGGGCTGGGACTTGATTAAAATTTTTAATCTAATTAATTACAGGCTTTGTAATTAATTAATCTAAATTAATCGCATTTTAATCGTTCAGGAAAATGTGCTCTCAAAGTAAAACGTTTAATTAAAATTATGAGACAGAGAATCAAACATTAGACATGGATATTACTGTAAACTAAAGCTTTTAATAAAAAATGCATTTTAATTATTCAAATGTCACTGTGTGATATGAAACAAAACCCAAATCCACTAAAATTTATAATTACAAATAGAAAACACCTGCAAAGGGTTCCTGAGCTTTTAAATCGTCTCTCTGTCTAGTTGAATGACTGAAATAAATTTGACTTTGCACCAGATTCTAATTTTTCCAGTTTCACTTGTTTGTATAATTGGGAGTTTTTATTAGCATTTCTACTCATAATGTAGTAAAAACACATAAATAATAATCCTTCAAAATGACAGTAGAACAGGCACAAAAGCTGATCTAGGACTTAAATGTACTAACTTTTAACACCAGAGCAGGCATGGCATATTCTGAGAATGATCAGGAACACTAACTGGTTCCAGTTGGATGACTGGAGAATGATGGGATGATAAAAGATCATGGCGAGGAAATAATGATCTGACGAACAGATGAGCGGACCTTCCTTACATGGGAAGTCCTGATGTCACGTTAATACGGGGATGCTGCAGACCCGCAGATTCACACCTGCAGCAGTGAATCTGGTGTGATCTCCAGCCTGATCACAACTTCCTCGTTCCTCGCTGCCCCTGAAACATCCGCCCCTTAGCTGATGACAGCTTCAACACACCTCGCTGCTTAATGATAGTAATGCATGTGATGTTTAGACAGTGACTCGACTCAGAAACGTATAATTCCCCGACAGAACTGTTTAGAAAATCATCAGAAAAGTTTCAGAGTGTTTCTGTTTTAACTTAAACTTCTGTTTTCAACTTTAAGACACGTTGTTTGTGATTGTTTACAGAGTAGTGAGAACACGGAGCGTTCTCCCAGTGGAAGCCAGGTGCCTCTCGTTTGTCTGACTACTTTCATAAACTACTGTTAGGGCACAGAATTATTCCGTCTGGTGCTTTCAGCGCTGCACAGATGTTACGTAAATGTTAAAAATATAGCTTACCGCAACTTTTGTAAAGTTTCCGGTGCCACCGGGCAGCCGCAGCAGAGACGATCTCTGAAAAATGTCCGCGACATGAACTGCGTTTTTTTTCCAAGTTAAGAAAAGAGGCGGACGTGTTTCCTAAATCCTGCATCAGTCCAAGCAAGGCAACTTCTTTCTGTTTTTATTCTGTTTTAGTAGCCATTAGCATTGTGCATCTTTGTGTGCGTCAGTGATATTCAGTCTACGAGGAAATCGTGCAATGACAAAGGTTCCGCCGTGCTTGAAATGCAAGCTGCGATTAAATGCGTTAATTTTTTTAACGCGTTATTTTTTTCTAATTAATTCATCGTAATTAACGCGTTAAAGTCCCGGCCCTATTATTAATAAATGTTATGTTTGTTGCAGGTCTAACTATCTTCTAAAGAACATCTAGACAGTAAATCTTCTTTTACACGACTAAAACTCCCCACCAGATACCAGTTTCATCTTTTATTTTGGGTTTTGTTGGTCAGTTGCCTCTAATAGAGGATGCAGCACTGCTTCCAGAGGACAGAGATGTAGCTGAGGAGAGGAAGAGGGTTTTGGAGTGCCAGCCAGTTGTGGAGTCTATGGTTGGAAGTCCCCTCATCCTGCAGGAGCTCAGTAAGGTGAGTAGCTCTTCCTCCTGCTGTTCAGCGGTCCTCCCAGATGTCTGAGACCGATAACCTGTTTTTGTCCCTCTTAGGTGTACAGCAGCGGGGGGAGTATTCTGGCCGTGGACAGGTTGTCTCTCGCCGTGAGGAAGGGGGAGTGTTTTGGCCTTTTAGGCTTCAATGGAGCAGGAAAGACCACAACATTTAAGATGCTGACAGGTGATGAGAGTGTTACGTCTGGTGACGCCTTCATTGATGGTTACAGCATCTTAAGGGACATTAAGAAGGTAAGAAATGTCCCCATATTTAAAACAGTTTGTTTGACAATGTAGGCACTCAGAAACCTGACAGCGTCTGCTATCTGGGGCCTGCAGGTGCAGCAGCGTATAGGCTACTGTCCACAGTTTGATGCAGTGCTGGACCACATGACAGGAAGAGAGACTCTGAGTATGTACGCCAGGCTCAGAGGAATCCCAGAGAAGTACGTGTCTGGCTGTGTGGAGAATGTCCTGAGGTCCCTGCTGCTGGAGCCTCATGCTGATAAAGTGGTCCGCAGCTACAGGTAGATGCAGAACACAGATCATCCTCCTTGTTACTCTGTTGATCAGATAGTGATGAAGGTGTCTGAACTCTGCAGTGGTGGAAACAAGCGGAAGCTGAGTGCAGGCATGGCTCTGATTGGTGGACCTCCAGTCATCTTCCTGGACGAACCTTCTACAGGAATGGACCCAGTGGCGAGGAGGCTGCTGTGGGATGCTGTTACACGCACTCGGGAGTCCGGCAAGGCCATAATCATCACTTCTCACAGGTGAGCTCAGTGAAGAAGATTTATCATCGCATCATGATAAAAAAGCACAGAAGATGTAACCATTCTTAACATTTTACCGGGTGTTCACTCCCCAGTATGGAGGAGTGTGAGGCCCTGTGTACCAGGCTGGCAGTGATGGTCAATGGGCAGTTCAAGTGCCTCGGGAGCCCCCAACACCTGAAGAGCAAGTTTGGCAGTGGCTACACCCTGCTGGCTAAAGTGCACGTAGACGCTGACCTAGAGGACAGTGACCTGCTGCTGTTCAAAGACTTCATTGAAAGCACCTTCCCAGGTCAGAATACCACGCAGTACAACAACTGCAGCTTAAAACTATTATCCCTGCGGCAAAGTGATCTTTCCTGCATTCAAGAATAATGCAGGATTCACTTTTTCAAAGCTAACATTGAATTCTCTTTTCTAACAGGAAGTCAACTAAAGGATGAGCACCAGGGGATGGTTCACTACCATTTGACAGACAAAACACTTACCTGGGCACAGGTACAGTAGGAAATCTGCTGTGTGATAGCTCCCTCTAGTGGACAGTTTGAATCATTTTAGGTTTTTTGTGACCTGCAGCTGTTAGGTTCCTCTGCACAGACTCCTTTTAGACCAGTTAATTGTAAACATTTTATAACTACAGTTAAACTGCTCTCTGTCCGGTTTGATGAAAGTGATGCAAAAGTAGAACCAGCCACCACACCAAGGCAACATTTTAAACACGTAGGCAAGATTCTGATGATAGATAATATGCACTTTTGCACACATGAGATTATTATAGGACATTTAAACAAGGCAGAGAAACAAGAAGGATACTGAAAACAGCTAAAATATAAACAAAAACTTTTTGTTGATTCATAAATGCAAAAGTTGGAAGTTTGTTTCAGAAAAGGTAAAATGGTAAATGGCCTGCATTTGATATAGCGCCTTCCAGAGCCCTGGAACCCCCCAAGGTGCTTTACATCACAATCAGTCATTCACCCATTCACATCCTAGTGGGGATGAGCTACCATGTAGCCATACCTGCCCTGGGGCGCACTGACAGAGGTGAGGCTGCCGAGCACAGGCCCCACCAGTTCCTCCGACCACCACCAGCAGGCAAGGTGACAAGCTGAGCAGGGCTCGAACTTACAACCTGCTGATTACGGGGCGAGCATTTAACTCCTGTGCCACCGTCACCCCTCCTATGTTTGTGCCTTGAGATGACTCTTGATTTGACGCTAGACACATAAGCTGAATTGAATTGAAACTATATTTGTAAAAGTTACAGACTGCTGAGTAGGGATGGATGATAAAAAAAAGCATTTTGATACAAAAAATTAATATTTATCAAAATCAGTAATTGTTGATAACTATGAAACAAATATTGAACATATATGGTGGCGCAGTGGTTAGCACTGTTGCCTCGCAGCACGAAGGTTGCAGGTTCGAAACCCAGCTGCGGCCTTTCTGCGTGGAGTTGCGTGTTCTCCCCATGCATGCTTGGGTTTCCTCCAGGTACTCCGGCTTCCCCCACAGATCACAACATGCCCTATAGGTTATAAATTGTAAGTCACTTTGGATAAAAGCGTCTGCTAAATAAATAAACATAAACATATATAGGTCCTTCTAAAAAATTAGCATATTGTGATGAAGTTCATTACTGTCTGTAATGTACTGATAAACATTAGTCTTTCATATATATTAGATTCATTACACACAACTCAAGTAGTTCAAGCCTTTTATTGTTTCTAATATTGATGATTTTGGCATACAGCTCATGAAAACCCAAAATTCCTATCTAAAAAATTAGCATATCATGAAAAGGTTCTCTAAACGAGCTATTAACCTAATCATCTGAATCAACTAATTAACTCTAAACACCTACAAAAGATTCCTGAGGCTTTTAAAAACTCCCAGCCTGGTTCATTACTCAAAACTGCAATCAGGGGTAAGACTGTCGACCTGACTGCTGTCCAGAAGGCCATCATTGACACCCTCAAGCAAGAGGGTAAGATACAGAAAAACGTTTCTGAAGAAATAGGCTGTTCCCAGTATGTACAGTCTATGGTTCCCAGAGTGCTGTATCAAGGCACCTCAGTGGGAAGTCTGTGGGAAGGAAAAAGTGTGGCAGAAAACGCTGCACAACGAGAAGAGGGGACCGGACCCTGAGGAAGGTTGTGGAGAAGGACCGATTCCAGACCTTGGGGGGCCTGCGGAAGCAGTGGACTGAGTCTGGAGTAGAAACATCCAGAGCCACCGTGTACAGGCGTGTGCAGGAAATGGGCTACAGGTGCCACATTCCCCAGGTCAAGCCACTTTTGAACCAGAAACAGCGGCAGAAGCACCTGACTCGGGCTACAGAGAAGCAGCACTGGATTGTTGCTCAGTGGTCCAAAGTACTTTTTTCGGATGAAAGCAAATTTTGCATGTCATTCGGAAATCACAGTGCCAGAGTCTGGAGGAAGACTGGGCAGAGGGAAATGCCAAAATGCCTGAAGTCCAGTGTCAAGTACCCACAGTCAGTGATGGTCTGGGGCGCCATGTCAGCTGCTGGTGTTGGTCCACTATGTTTTATCAAGGGCAGGGTCAATGCAGCTAGCTATCAGGAGATTTTGGAGCACTTCATGCTTCCATCTGCTGAAAAGCTTTATGGAGATGAAGATTTAATTTTGCAGCACGACCTGGCACCTGCTCACAGTGCCAAAACCACTGGTAAATGGTTTACTGACCATGGTATTACTGTGCTCAATTGGTCTGCCAACTCTCCTGACCTGAACCCCATAGAGAATCTGTGGGATATTGTGAAGAGAAAGTTGAGAGACGCAAGACCCAACACTCTGGATGAGCTAAAGGGCACTATCGAAGCATCTTGGACCTCCATAACACCTCAGCAGTGCCACAGGCTGATTGCCTCCATGCCACGCCGCATTGAAGCAGTCATTTCTGCAAAAGGATTCCCGACCAAGTATTGAGTGCATAACTGAACATAGTTATTTGAAGGTTGACTTTTTTTGTATAAAAACACTTTTCTGTTATTGGTCGGATTAAAAATGCTAATTTTTTTAGATAGAAATTTTGGGTTTTCATGAGCTGTATGCCAAAATCATCAATATTAGAAACAATAAAAGGCTTGAACTACTTCAGTTGTGTGTAATGAATCTGATATATATGAAAGTCTAATGTTTATCAGTACATTACAGACAATAATGAACTTTATCACAAAATGCTCATTTTTTGAGAAGCACCTGTATTTTAAGTGCAGGCCGGACCATTTTGTGTTATTATTTCATAATAAATCAAGTTGGTTGTGTTACCAGACTTGACTTTTATTGATTCTCTCCCATTTTTGCAAACGACCATTGTTTGTTTTTTGTCAAACTTGTAAGAGTCAAAATATAGCCTTGCTGGTGGACAACTGTAACCTTTTTTTCTGGACATCTTCCCCTGCCTCTGCTTGCTGCGACACCTTGTTAAAGTCACGGGCTGTCGCTTTTGGTTTGCGAGGCGATTACTTGGTGATGGAGAGTTCCTGGGTCTGTGTTTTTGACTGGTTGGGTGTTGATAATGATTCTAGTATGAAGCTAACCAGCAGGCTATAATGAAAAATAGAAAACTTATTATTGAGGGTTTTTATTGACTAATTATTTTTCTATTGCGCCACACGTCTATTGGTAGATATAAATCTGTTTTGAATTGTTCTCTAGTCCTTCTACTGAGTTAGATAAAAAATAGTTTAGTAGGCTGAAGTGAAAATTAGTGTTCAAAAATAAATGTTTAGTTACCTATATAACCCAGGAAAACCACTGGATGAGCACTGTACAGAAATAAATGACAAGAAATTAGGCCTCCTTGGAAGCAACATATGCAATATCAGACTTTTGCACTTCATACTAGGGGCTGCATGACTTAATTTTCTTTAAAGTCAACAGTCAAGTAATGAAAATCGAGTCGACTTTGACTAGTCGTTGATGACGTCATACACCTGCAGCGGCGTTGGGGGGTTGGTTCGCTCCCCCCTCCCCCAGCGCAGCGGCCGCAAACTCACTGATGCGCCTGCAGCCTCTCGGAGTTCCTGCTGCTCTAAACATTAAAATAATTATTTCATTTTCTGTTCCTCACTTCTGATTACCTTCAGTGGTGTCTGTTTGTTGCAACCACCAGGTACAAAAACAAACTTGTTTTTATTTGACTATTTTTCTGTCCTGCCTGTTTATTATCTTCCTGCATCTCCTCTCAATCCTAAAGAAAAACTGCTACCTGGGTTCATGTATATTCACATTATGAGTTACCTTTGAACTGCAGTTCTAAAAGATCTACCGACCACAAAAACAGCTCGCTGGCCGCATCAGTGAGGTGCGTCACCGGAGGACAAAACAGGTGATGCGCCCCGCTCCACAGCAGTGAAAAGCATCAGGCACAAATAAAAGACAGAAAACATAAAAGGAAATGAGCCGACATGAACGATCACGTGTTAAATTTATTTTTGAGGTGGTGACAACTGATTTGATAATGTTACTGTGGCCGTGCTCAGGACGCAGATGTCTGGAGCGCGTCAACAATCAGAGCTTTGCATGCGCAAGCTGGTTAAGATTAGGATGGGGTGAGGGGAAGGTTAAATTGCAAGAGGGTAAACGTCACAATTTGGTTAAATGTCCGTTTTACGGCGGGTGTCTGTACCGACTCTCTGGCACAGCGCGTCGCCTCCCGGCTCATCACCTGCTGTCTTTTCCGAGGACTGCATTTTGTCGGTCATTATCACATGACAGCGACTAGTCGATGACAGTCATAAAAAGTCACTACAGAGCAGTGAAGTCGACTAGTTCATACAACCCCTACTTCATACTTTGGATTTCCTAACGTTTTACATGAAAAATCATCATAATAATAAAAAATTACTAAATAAAAAAGAACCAAATAGACATCCATACATCTTCCGCTTATCTGTGGTAGGGTTGTGGAGGCATCAGCCTGAACAGGGACGCCCAGACTTCCCTCTCCCCAGCCACATGGGCCAGCTCCTCCAGGGGAATCCTAAGGTGTTCCCTGGCCTGCGGAGAATCATAGTCCCTCCAGCGTGTCTTGGGTCTCCTCCCGGTTTGACTTGGCAAAACCTCACCAGGGAGGTGTCCAGCAGGCATCCTAATCAGGTGCCTGAGCCACCTCAACTGGCTCTCTCAATGTGGAGGAGAAGTGGATCTACTCCGAGCCCCTCCCGGATGACCGAGCTTCTCACCCTACTTCTAAGGGAGAGCCCAGACACTCTGCAGAGGAAAACCATTTTGGTCTCGTGTATCTCTGATCTCATTCCTTCGGTAACTACCCAAAGCCCGTGACCACAGATGGGTGTTGGAATGAAGTTCGACCGGTAAATTTAGCGCTTCGACTTGCAGCTCAGCTCTCTCTTTACCATGACAGACCAGTACAACGCCCGCATCACTGCAGACGCAGCACCAGTTACAAACAGAGTCTGTGAGGCAGCCTTGGCAGGGTCCATCTCTCACTTGGAACAAGCCTGACTAAAGCCTAATTTATACTTCTCCGTGAGCTTCACAATGGAGAGACGCACACAGCGTGTCGGGAAAGTTTTCACATTCAAACTTCTGTTCAGGCAGCGGAGCAATGCAAAGCAATTCCCCACCAGGACAACAGAGGGCGTAGCGTTTTTTCTGTGGTATCTTGCCACCAAGGTTTCCCCCAGCGCTTTATAAGCCTGGCGGCCCGCCAGGATTTGCTTAGCCATCCGCCAGGCTAAGCGTCATGCCCCGCCCCCCTTCCCGACCCTACCGTGTCCGCTGACATGAATGGCGCAATGAAACTAGAGCCCTCCATCAGCTCCGCCAGGCTTAACTCATTTTCTGGGGGAAACCCTAATGTGTTTATATATTTCAGAGACATAACACGGACACATTTGTCCTTTCTCGTCAACCTCTTCATGTGGTCGCCACCTCTAAACCCACATTTTCTGTCGTTTCCATCCACGTTTGCTCTGTATTTTGTACTCCTTCAGTTACGGGTGAATAAATTTTAATTTTTTTCAGACTTTTTCCCGTGATGCGTTCTTCAATCTGTTCTGGGTCTGCCGCTAAATATCTGTTTACTTTTTAACAGAGCTACAGCTGTGTTTATGACGAATATACAGGAAGCTGCGTCCTGACCAATTACAAGCTTGCAATCTCTGTCACTTTCGACGGATGTTTAAAAATTTGGCATGTCTACGTCACCCTCTGTGAGCCCGTCGGAGAGCCCTTGCGCCGACGCATAATGGCGTTGCGTGTCTCTGCACCGACGCAGACAGAGAAGTATAAATCATGTTTTACTGGTGGCAATACAGATCAAGTTCAAGCACCAATCATTTAGGAACCTAACAACCCAAATCCAGCCCTCTGGTACCCCTTACTCCCGGAGTACCCCCCACAGGGCCGCCTGAGAGACGCGGAGGAACGTCTTCTCCAATTCCACAAAATTCAATTAAATTCTTTTTAGGATCTCAAATTGGTGTATATATTTTTTAATTATTTTAATTTCAGGTTGAGAATGCATTCAGACATGGATAGACTGTGTACTCATGCACTGATGTACTGCAAAAGTGGAATGCAGGCACACTCTCAAAGTCTGAGGTTCCGAACATCGCTCCTGTAGCCACAACTGTAACTTTATCTGGTTGTTAATACAACCGCAAACAGCGCCAAATGTTCGCGAGCCATGCAAGTACACTTTTTGGGGGCAAATCATTTTTAAAATCCTGAAATGTTCAAATAAACTGCTACAAGAAACTAAACCTCACTATGCAATGTAATGGCTATGCAACACTTCCGATATCTCATTGGATGTTGCTCATAAAATTGTTTCTATGTGAGCAGGCCCAGGAATAAGGTGGGTAGAGCTGGTCCTGTGTTCCATGGCTAGGACAAAAACCACATTACTCGTTCCAAATTAGAGGTCCGACTATCCAACAGACCCTCCTCTTCAGAACCTCGAAGATCCCCCGTAGTTGGAACACACCATGCTGTCCCCCTTTTTAAATAGGGAGACCACCCCGGTCTGCCAATCCAGTGGAACTGCCCCACATATTGTTGCATAGCCGCATAAACCATCACAGCCCGACAACCAACATCATCGAGCCTTAAGGAACTCTGTCTCACCTGTCCCCGAGGTCTTTCCACCAAGGAGCTTTTTGACAATCTTGGTGACCTCAGCCCCAGAGATTGGAGAGCCCAACCCAAAGTCCCCAGACTCCACTTTCTCACTGGTAGGCGTGTCTGTGGGATTTAGAAGGTCTTTGAAGCACCCCGCCCACCAATCCACTACGTACTGAATCGAGGTCAGCCGCACACTGTAAAACGTGTTGGTAACGCACTGTTTTCCCCTACTGAGACATCGGATAGTTGACCAAAATCTCTTCAGAATTGTACAGAAGTCTTGCTCCATGGTCTCACTGACCTCCTCTTGAAAAATCCATGATGTCCAAACACGAAACATCGCTCAAATTCTGATCAGGGGGGCAATACCTCCTAAACCGAGGTCCCACTTTTGATGCCTGCATGAGCAATGAAATCCCCCAGCAGAATGAGAAGCCAGAAGGAATACTCTCCAGGGTCTTCAACAAGGGTTGGTACTCTGACCTAGTTTGGTGCATAAGCGCAAGTAACAGTCATCCCCCCACATGTAGGAGGATGGAGGCTACCCTCTCATTTACAGAGATAAACTGCTACGTACAGGCACCAAGTTGGGGTGCAACAAGTATGCCCACCCCTGCTCAACGCCTCTCGGTGGGGGCAACTCCAGAGTGGTAAAATGTCCAACCCTTCTCAAGGGAGCAGGTTCCGGAGCCAGAGCCATGCGTCGAGGTGAATCCGACTAAATGTAGTTGGAACTTTTCAACCTCACACATAAACTCCTTCTCCACCAGCGTGGTGACATTCCACGTACCAAAAGTCAGCTTCTGTAACCGTGGATCAGACCACCAAGGTCCCGGCCTTCGGCCATCACATTACACCCGACCCCTTTGGCCCCTCCCACAAGTGGTGAGCCCCTGGGAAGGGTGACCCATATCTCCATTTGGGACTGTGCTTGGCTAGGCTTCATGGGTGAAAGCCTGGCCACGAGGCACTCGCCAATGAGCCCCACCTCCAGGCCTGGCTCGGGGGGGGGGGTCTGATGACCAGCGTCTGGGTGAGGAAACATTGTTTCCACTTATGGAGATCATCTTAAGGGGTCTAAATGGACATATTGTTTCAAATGTAGAATTAAAAAGCTCAAATTGACCTCCACTTGTTCTTTTAGTCTAAAGTTGTTATTGCAAAACACAAATGAAGCATTAAAACCCTAAGAAAAAAATTACCTTTCTGTTTCCATTTGTTCTCCAAATTAATACATAAAATGGTTCATTAATTCTAATTTTCATTATTTAATTAAATGTAATTAAAATAGAGCTCTTTTTCACAGTTTCGCGTTCTCTTTCTTACACCCCCCCCCCCCCCCCCCCCCCCCATGCAGGTGTTTGGTACCTTGGAGGCGGCCAAAGAGAAATATCGCATTGAAGACTACTGCGTGAGCCAGATTTCATTGGAGCAAGTGTTCCTCAGCTTTGCCCAGTTCCAGCACTGTGCACAGACTGACAGAAAGTAGTTGGAGCCAAGAATCTGTCGTCAGCCATTTTCTGTGGAACCTTTGTGAAAGGACGTCAGTCAGGAGTGAACGAAGGAACGAGAAGGACGTATAATTATCTAACTTGAACACCAAGTCACTGGTCCAGCCTCAAATTTCAACATTTCTTTGACTCCATAACTTTTTACAGGCAATGATGTTAGCTGTTACTGTGCGAAGTTTGGTGATGACATCATCATGGCGTGTGATGTTGATCAAACAAAGTAATGAACTCTGCACCTTTTTGTTAAACATCCGCCAAACCACTACACTGAAATGTGTGTGTGTGTGTGTGTGTGTGCGCGTGTGCATGCGCGCCAAGTTAGGTTTTTATTTATGACTTTTATTATGTTTCCAAGCATTTGTGCTTTATGATGATGATCACAAGAGGAAGAATCACTCTTACTGATGATTGTGAAACCATTGCACACCTTGTAGCCTTATCTATCAATCAAGGGTTCTTTTTTTTTTTTTTTACGTTGCCTCTGGAGCTTCTTTTAAGCCTTTTAATGCTATTGTCAGATTTTGTGACACAATCGTTCGTGGTACAGAAACCTTTTAAGACTGTTTCTTATGAACACACACGCATAAAAGTGGAATACTTTAAAGGCTACAAGCCGTCCCAGCTGAGGATTAATTTTCTGAGTGCTTTCAGTCCATCCTGAGTACAGGACGTACGTCTCCTTTTTCACTTCTTGCAATGTAATGAATCTGTGTTGCTGCCAAAGATGCGACAGCAGCTGTGTGTGTGTGTGTGTGTGTGTGTGTGTGTGTGTGTGTGTGTGTGTGTGTGTGTGTGTGTGTGTGTGTGTGTGTGTGTGTGTGTGTGTGTGTGTGTGTGTGTGTGTGTGTGTGTGTGTGTGTGTGTGTGTGTGTGTGTGTGTGTGTGTGTGTGTGTGTGTGTGTGTGTGTGTGTGTGTGTGTGTGTGTGTGTGTGTGTGTGTGTGTGTGTGTGTGTGTGTGTGTGTGTGTGTGTGTGTGTGTGTGTGTGTGTGTGTGTGTGTGTGTGTGCGTGTGTGAAACCGTAATAGAAAATGCTAGCATGTGATGAAGGTGATTAATTTTAATTCTGCAAATATCACAGTAAAATTAAAATTTTTAACTGGATAAATTATTTTTCCAGTTACATGACTGCATCACTACTGAGATATTGCCTCATTAATAATCGTAAATGCACCTAGACAGTCCAACAGGTAATGGTTGATAAACTCTACAGGCAGATGTTTAGTTGTGAGGAAGAAACATCAACTCTAGTGTAATATTAAATTTTTTATTCATGCATTCTGTTGCTCAGTTCTCTGTAAAAATCATTCCTTCCTTTATTTTACTGAACTTGTAAAAATATGTATGTAGAAATATGTAAATTTAAGGTTTCAATGAAATCAGTTCCACACCTTGATCAGAAACCTTCAGGCACAGGTTCTGAGTTTCCACCAGAACTGATGATTTAAACAGGACTGAATATTTAGATGATTTTAATGGTGTAAGAATGACATTCCTGCCTGCTGTTACTGGTCTCATGAGCTTCCTTCATTCTGCCCGATGCGAACAAAACTAAACTCATTACAGATTGGCTTTTAACAAGATAATCATCATTTTGACTTTTGTATGACTTGAAAACAGTTGCAACTGAAACAGAAACCTGCTGCTGGGTGTGCATTAATAAAGTTCAGCAGACATGTATGTGTCATGTTTTAAAAGGGAATTGACTTTATTGTAAACTTGTACTGTACCATGGAACTGAACCAGTTCTATCTGTATGCGTTCCTGTTTTTTTTTTAAATTAAATGACTCTCTATGCAACCTATGGAGAAAACCATTAAGTCTGTTCAAATGTATTCTCTTGTTTTTCAGGGCTCAAAAAAAAGTATAAGAACAATAGAATGTACGTCCCACGAAACCTTTCAATATCCTTTTCCATGCTACAAAACTGTTTTTCCATTTGCTTTTCAGAGGAATAAAAATGGACTCAGAAAACTAGTTAACTGTGAAAATGTTCATTTCTTCCATTTCAGGGCTTCCATCAGTCACTGCTTTTGTATATGACCACTGAGATACACCTCGAATGACAATGTTTTATTTCTGTAAGTGAACCAACACCAGCTTTTGGGCTGCAGTAGCTCAGGAGGGAGAGCGGGTTGTAGGATTGATCTCAACTGTTGTCCTCGGGCAAGAAACTTAACCCACCCTGCCTGCTGGTGGTGGCTACATTGTAGTTCATCATCGCCCGCATGTGAATGTGTGTGCATGTGTGGATGATTGTGTTGCAAAACAGCTTGGGGGGGGGGGGGGGGGGGGGTTGTAGTACCCTGAAATACACTAGAATAGACTTTATTAATCCCACAGTGGGGATGACTTTCTACAGCAGCACATACACTTAGAGAAAATAAAGGAAAAATAACAAAATTACAGGTAAACACACAAAGGCTGTTATTGTAACCAACCACTAAAAACAATGAATAAAAAGGAAACTTGTGTTTCCAGAAGTATGTAGCACAAGGGACACAGACATACTAATGTACATCAGGTATTGCACTAGTATTGAACACATACTGAATGTTTCATTGATGTTATTGTGTACCAGGATAATGCCAGTACCAGTTAAACTCAGGAGTTGTACACTCTTACTGCAGAGGAGATTAATGACCTAGGGTAGCGTTCTGTTTTACATCTGCAATGTCTCAGTCTGCCTCTGAAGGAATGTCCATGGGCTCCACAGTGGAACTCAATGGGTGGGAGGGGTTTTCCAAGATGCAGGAGGTCATCTTCACCACCATCCTCCTTTCACACATCTCATCTGAATCTAATTGGCATCCCAGAACCGAGCTAGCTTTGTTATCTAGCTTGTCCAGTCACTGTCTCGGTCAGAGCTGCCTGCACCACAACAGAGTGATAAAAGGATTTTAGCAGATGGGAATTAACTCTGAAGGACCTCAGCCTCCTCAGGAGGTGGCTTTGGCCCTTCTTATACAGAACATCTGTGTTGTTGGACCAGTTTAGTTTATTGTTGAGGTGAACACCCAGGTACTAAGGTATTGTAAGCTTCATTTATAGTAAATTTGAGTTAAGTCATATGTTTGAGTTATTCTGTCAATCCTTTCTTTGGCCTTCCGTAGTTTCAGACAGGAAGGGATTTTTTGTTAAACTTGTAAAAAATGTAAAGGAGCTACGGCAGAGCGACACGGTTGTTTTACGTTTGCGTTGCAAACAAGCCGTCTCAACTTATTTAATGTCCAGAAGTGGTATCAGATATTGACATGAAGACCAGAAAGGTAAAAGAATAAATTTGATCCTAAAGGTATCCACCATCTTCTGCGACCCATCACAATTTGTGACCCCAGGGGGCAGTGTTGCATTTTGTTGTGTCTGTACATCCTGAATTGGCATAAAAGAAGAAGATGCTACATTCAAACCGTAAACTATGTAAGCTTTGAGGAAGTTGTGCGGCGGGGACCATGGTCACACAATATTGTGGTGGCCCTGCCACTGATAGGTCGCCATGTTAGTGTTGTTTGTTTCAGTTCAGAGTTCATGTTGTGTTGTTCTTATCCGGTGCCTGTTGGCACCGTGAGTTAAATGTAAGTGTGGGGGGGATGAAAAAGGGAGCCATCCGGCTATTAAAAGTGTTCTATGTCTTCACCTGTCGACTCTTCTTTGCTGCTTCACACACACCCCGCTAGAGGGCGGCGCAGACCGCTACATTGGTGTCAGAAGTGGGATTAGCGCTGTCAAGAAAGACAGAAAAGATGCTGCAACTCGTCGAGGAGATCAAGCGACAACAGAGAGAACAGCAAGCTGGAAGAACAATGACAGCTGGGCACTAGAGCGAGGACACCGCGCCAGCCAGATGGAACCAGCGATCAGCGGTTAGCCCGGCACCCGCGAGAGATGAGCTCAGCGGAAGCGCCCACAATCCCGGCACCAACGGCGCTGAGAGACGGCGCTGAGAGACGGCGCTGAGAGACGGCGGCAATCAAACACCGGTAAAACTCCCAAGATTCAGCAGCGCCACACCCCTTGCACCCCTCCTCGCTCAAGTAGAGCTGGCAGCTTTACATGAAGGATGGAGCCAACAGGAGACAGCAGTTCAGGTGGCGCTGGCCTTGGAAGGAGGAGCACTTCAGGTCCTGGTGGACCTAGTGTGGCAAGGTGGATAAACGAGGGCCCGGGCGGGATTCGATCCCCAGACTCCCGGGTGAGAGTCATACGCACTAACCAGTCAGCCAAAGGGACATCCCTGTGGCCAAGTAGCCAGGGCGCATGATCAATCGGGACATTGCGACAGGACGCTCACACTGTCACATCTTCCCCCCTCTTTCCACAAGCACGTTCTCGTGCTCCCGCGCAGGGTGCCACAAACTTCACATCCATGGACCTACTTGATAGTACTACATGGATCCTGCCAAGAACGCCAAATGTTGCAAGGTGGATAAACGAGGGCCTAGGCGGGATTCGATCCCCAGACTCCCGGGTGAGAGTCATACGCACAAACCAGTCAGCCAAAGGGACATCCCCGTGGCCAAGTAGCCAGGGTGCATGATCAATCGGGACATTGTGACAGGACGCTCACACTGTCATACTAGCATCGGAAGAGCAACGCGATTGGCAAGCTATCACTGCTGCACTGAACAGACACTTTGGGAAGCAAGCCTCAGGAGAGCTAAGCCCAGAACAACTGAGCGGCAGACGACACGGCCACGGAGAAAGCTTGGGAGCTTATGTGGCTGATCTACAACTGTATGCTTGGCAGGGCTATCCGGATTTCCCGGCTGCCGCCAGAGAGGAGTTAAGCCTGCATGCATTCCTATGAGGGCTAACACCGGAACCATTACGTCAACACGTCAGATTGTCCTTCCCCATCACCTTGGCGGAAGCGCTTAGGAGAGCTGAACAAGCAGAGGAGGTGATACCTGTTGGACAGTGTGGACGATCACCCCTGGCGAGAGCGGCTGAACAAGTGGAGGCGCTGGAGGAGAGGAGAGAAGTCAACCAGGCCCGGCCAGAGCAGACCCAGAGACAAAGACCATCCACTGGCCTCTGCTACCGCTGTGGGGAACCGAGACATCTAGCCAGAGACTGCCCAGCTCCAAGTCCTCGGCCCAGGTCTGGGCCGCGGAGGCCGCAAGCTGCGGGAAATGCCAGCGGGGTGGGGACAGTAAGGGGACTCCCACCTCGCACAATGTCACCCCTTGGAGTTAACCTGCCATCCATTGGCTGTGGCGGGCCGCTCCTTTGGCTATATTTGGACTGTGTTGTCGGAGGACAACAATGCCGAGCCTTGGTGGACATGGGGTCCACCACCTGTCTGGTCTGGAAGGGATTCCTGCCATAGGCTGAGGGTTCCCTCCCGGTAGGCTGGAGTCCCACCGAAACCGCATTGCTGACCGTGACTGGTGAAAAAAACACAATGACGGAAAAGGGACTGTTATTGATGGTGGTCGGAACTCATCGAGCTGAGCAGGAGTTCTGGATCGCTGCCATTCGAGATGATTGCATCATCGGGCTGGATTTATTAAGGTGCTGGGGTGCATGTGTTGATGTCCGAGGAAGTGCTTTGTGCCCAGATGCCGAGAGGATTCCTCTACAGGAGGGGAGGGACCTTCATGAGAAGCGACGAGGAGCCAGAGTCGTCCATTCGCTCGAAGACGACTGCAAAAGCCTGGAGGTTGGACAGAAGCCCGTTCCTGCTACTGTGGCCCCGCCACCTGAGGCCATGCTTTCTATGGAGGCGTTGGAACAACGCAGCGGTGAACACCTGAGCTCGGAGCAACGATAGCAGTTGGGCCAATTACTGCAAGAGTTTGGAGACATCTTTGCTGCTTGAGAAGAGTATTGCACCCGGACTAGCTTGGTCCAACACTGCATCGACACAGGAGACGCCGCTCCTGTACAGCTCCGCCCTCATTGCCTGCCATTAGCCAAACGCCAAGCAACAGAAGAATTAATCAGAGACATGGCAGGGTCATTGAGCCATCAGAGAGCCCCTGGGCTGCACCCGTTGTCATGGTGAAGAAGAAGGGGGGTGGATGGCAACCCTGTGTGGATTACCGGAGGCTTAATGCTTTGATGCGCAAAGACTCATACCCCCTGCCCCGCATTGACAATGCATTAGATAATGTAGCTGGATCGTACTGATTCAGCTCCTTGGATCTATGCAGTGGATATTGGCAGGTGGAGCTGGCGCCGGAGGCTAAGCTTAAAACGGCGGTCACGATTGGACAGGGACTGTGGCAGTTTCGATTGATGCCGTTTGGGTTATGCAATGCCCCAGCTACTTTTGAAAGACTGATGGAACGAGTTCTGCAGGAGATTCCTTGCAGCCGCTGTGTGGTGTATCTGGATGATTTGCTCGTGCATGCTAAAGACTTTGAGCATGCTGTTCGCAACCTGAGGGAGGTTTTTGTCGCCATTCGCCAGGCTGCAGCTGCGATTAAATTCTGCCAAGTGCATGCTGCTCACTCGCCAGACCCATTTCCTTGGCCATGTCGTTAGCGAGCAGGGAGTAATAACAGACCCTGCTAAGGTTGTTACTGTGAAGGAATGGCCTGTGCCAAGAAGCGTCTCGGAGCTGCGGAGCTTCCTGGGTTTGGCCTCCTACTACCGCCGCTTTATGAAAGGATTTGCTACTGTGGCTAACCCCCTGCATCGGTTAGTCAAGAAGGGCAGGCGGTTCGAATGGAGTGAGGAGTGCACTGCAGCTTTCCACCAGCTCCAGACGGCGTTGGTTGACGCACCGATTCTGGCGTATCCGGACCCCGCCCAACCGTTTGTTGTGGATACAGATGCTAGCAACGTGGGAGTGGGAGCTGTGCTCTCCCAAACCGGTGAAGATAGAGAAAGAGTTGTGTCTTATTACAGCCGCAGTCTCAATTGGAGTGAGAGGAACTACTGCATCACCAGGCGGGAGCTGCTAGCGATGGTTTTGGCTGTGAGACACTTCCGGCCGTACCTGCTCGGTACCAAGTTCAAGCTTCGAACTG